TGCCACATGGTGCCTCATTTTCTCACATCTTGTCGCATGGCAATGGCACCCTGCCCTTCGTTGACTCCGTGCCCAGCACTTGCTCTACACTACGAATTGTGTGAGAAGTGAAGCTGCGATGCACGTGAGGGACATCATATTCATGTGCGCCTGAAACGCAGCATGACACTGTCGACATCCAAAAGTCAAATGCGGGTGTACTACTAGGACGCCAGCAACAAGCACGCGTTGTTGTTTACAGGAGTTGCTCTCGGTAAGTTTGGAGTCTGGAGTGCAGTGCGAGACCATAGGCTGTGCCGGCAGAGCTTCGGTAGCCCAGTAACAGCTGACCGTGGATCTAGATTGCTGTTCTGGAAATGCATCTTTCCTTTGACGGAACTCTAGAGCGCCTAATCGCGCGCACTTCTAAGCCTTAAAACGTTCTGGAGTGTGTCATGTCTACAGGTGTAAGTGCGGATTTCAGCTTATGGTTGAGCGTTGAGCAGGAGTTGACTGTAAGACTCGATCTATCCGGGAAGGGCTAAGTGGAGGACCGCGTTGGCTGGGTTTTTCGAGGCATGCATCAGACTTGCAGCGGACTTTCGCGGAGCGATCACCAGTCTTGCACTGAAGCGCGGATTTCCTGAACAGCAAGCTGGTGCCTTACGTCAAACCATTCGTCAATCAAAAATGTCCTGTTGCGCCCGTTCGCAGATCTTTCGCAGACGCATAGAGTTTTTTCTTCCTTTCAAGACCCTCATCCTTCACCAGAGCCTTGAGGGGCACATCTTCTCAGATTTCTCAGTCTGAAGAGTGTCCTGAATTCACCCTTCTGCCTCCTTCTCATCATCATCATCATCATCCAAACAAAACATCATCGGCCCTCGTAAAGCCTGGAGAAGAATGTCGATGCAAACTCAGGCCATAAGCGAATGTGGTTTTTCGTTTTTCGTTCTGAGTCGCACCATCCGAACAACCCCGGCCAACCAGCAAGGGAAACCTCCCAAGACACCCTCTTATTGTTAGTAGCTGCCTAGTCCCAGATGCGTGGTTTGCTTGTGCACACGCTCGCCAAGCGACCAAATCATTGTCGTTCGTAGCCAGCTCTCTCCGTACACACTCCGCACGCGATCTCTACCCGTCTCTACCCGCCATGTGGACACAGCACTCAAGGGGCTCAAGTGCTGGCACATGGGCAGCCGGGACTGGCCTCAATACTATCGTCACAGCACCACCTCTCCTGGAAAATCTTGAACTTGAGCAATCGGACAATTCGACCCAAGCGGGCCAACTTCAGCATCTTGAGCGAGCCCAAGGTTCCTGAAAAACAAAAAGAGATACCAGGGGAACATGCCAGGAACATGCCAGATCATGCCATTGCAGCTCCACTTAAGGCTGTCATGGGAGCACGTTGCTCGAATGTGCACACAGGGCTTCACAACAAACCCACCCCAGAGCCTGCGGGAGAGCTCTCTGTTGATGAATCGGTTGATGAATCCGCCGGTGGAGCAGCTCCGGCCTCTACCAAGAGCGAGAAAGAACTGCTAAGATAATGGCACGCACGAAGCTCTGTCAAGGGCTCGGACACTGTTGGAGTACGTTAAACTGAGATCCACGATGGCCAGCACTACCTCAAGTTTGAAGCAGGATCCGCTGGAATCAACTTCTTCCAGGTTGATTGAGGAGCGATGTTGCGAGCTCTGAATAATTTCCTTCAACTTCCTTCCTGACTCCATGACCAAGGGCTCTCAAAACAGCTGCATCAACTAGCCAGCGGGTTCTTGTTTCCGGGCTTGGTTTCAAGCTAGGAGAGCTTCAGCCAGCCTAACTCAGCAACCAAGACTAGAAAAATAGGCAGATAGGAAAACAATGCAGTGTAGCCAGACGTACATGCAAGCAGCGCAAAGGATATCAAACCAGCTCCAGTACCTTGGTCGAGCACACTTCCCTTCAAGCCTGCAGCTCGCAATGCTCGCAACCCACCTACACTCGGGCTTGCACCTGCCACACAGCTTTTATGGACTTGGCGGTCTGCCAGCTTGCAGTACCCTGATACACCGGCATTGCTTCAAGTTGCCAATCCGCACCGCGCAGATATTCTCTGAAACCAAACACTCGCAGCTTCACCAGGATCTCCTTGCACACGCTCCACATTCATCAAGCTGCTCAACAAATCAAGCTATTTGTTGTTTAGGGGCGGCCCCATGCAATGCTGCCACAACCTGACGCTACACAAGATCATGCTGAGTATGCTTGCTTTCTGTGTGGTGGCAACTCCCATCTGACACGTAGGCTGTCAGATTTTGGAATGTGACCTAAACGCATGCCGAGAAGGGGCAGGCGGGCAACTGTACCGGCATGTTGACGGAATAAGCACGCCAGTCCACCAACGCTCCAGCACGCAGTTGTCCACAATTCCCCAAACAAAAAATCTCAAAGTGGCCATGCTCGCCGTCCTAACTGACGTTATTGAACATTTTTCGACGTCTGGGCTTGCGAAATGCGAAACTGTCTTCGTCTTTTCGACTTTTGGGCTCACGTGGTCTCCCGCTGTTTGGGGCCTACACTGGCATAATGTTGGTTCAACAAGCTGGCCAGAAAGGGATATTCCGGTGAGCAACTGTGACGGAATGTTGCCTTAATACGCAAGCAAGGAGACTCAGGCGAGCAACTGTACCGCAATCTGGCCTTCACAAACTGGCCAGGAAGCTCCGGTGGGCAATTGTACCGAAATGTTGCTTGAATAACCAGGACAGGGAAGTGCCGACGGGCAACTGCACCGGAATGTTGATGTCAGAAGCAGATCAGAGACGCCCGGGCCATTGTTTGCACCAGTAGGCGGCACTGTGATTGATGCAGCATGCATGTGTCAGATTCACCTACTGCATTGTAGGCAGTGCCAGTGCTAGGGTGCCTTGCACGTTGTCGGGCTGCGCTGCATGTCTAGTTTATTCAAGCCGCAACAGTCGACGACAAGAAGTTAAACGGCGCAAGTCGTTGCGTCAATGCCCTTTCCATAAACCTGACACCCGGCCCTGTTGGTAAGCTGGAAGCGCGAAATGCGACAGTAGGGATCAAGGTCTGTGGCGAAAGAAGAATCTTTTTGCGGGAGCCATGATGATTTATTATGCCGCCGGGAAGCTCCAATGAAAAAAGCTGTGAAGACGATCTCCAAGACCTTCGGCATTGCGAGAGTGGGCATGTGGCAAATCGTGGTACAGGCAGTTTAGAACTGTTGAAGGATCCTCAAGGAAGGCCTGCCTGCCATATCGCATGATCTGGCTCAACGTCTTGACTGAGACCCGCAATTGCGGCGCTCAAGACGATCACACAAGCTGGAACGATGTCCAGGAGCAACAGGAAGGTTGAATTGTCCTCACGGCATGCGAAGTTGCAGGTTCTGAAGATCACTGAGTACCCCTCAGCCTGCTTGACCGACTCCACAGCTGACAAAACCCTCAACAGTCCTCCGACTCCTCTTCATCGATCGGGACTTTATTCATGCTTGCTGTGTTCCTCAGAGGTGAACTCACGATAAACAGCTTGTCAGGTCGAGGGTTGGCGAACCGTTGCCAGCTCAAACCAAGGCTCTGCCGCTTCAGCTTGCTTCCAGTGCTCTTCACACAGTCATTACTGATTCGTCGCGGACTGCCATTTGGCACTTTGTCCCCTGAGTTCAGCTGCTCTCTATCTGAACGCAAAAGACATTGTTTCACTGCGCTTCTCTGTACGGGCGAAGCTTCTGGACAGGCCAAGAACCTCCAAACGGAGGATTTCACTGTCTGCCAAGCTGCGTCCTTCTTCCTTGAGGGAGTTTGGAATCCCTGAGCTGCAAACTAGAAACTGTTGCAGGGCACGCAGCAGGCTCGTGCAGCCAGCGAAAACACGCCCAACTTGCGGCGCAAGACAATTTACAACAGGACAACTGACGAAGTGCAGAGTCAACAACTGCAAAAATCAAGCCTGGTTTCACCGGCAAACAAATGTTTCGCTATGCTTCGGTTTGATGATACCTCCGGTGACTTGGGGAACCATTTGCTCCTGAAATCAATGACAGGGTGCACTCGTTCCTGATTACTCCAGGCAAGTCCAAGGACAGCGAGGTTGACGGAGTAGCTACGTAGGCAGTCACTGGCTGCAAAGGTGGAGCTTCCTCGGATGACATTTGAAGTCTCTCATGGTGCTCTGAACAATTGGTCTGTGAAACAAGCAATCTAATCTAGTCTGACCTGATGAGCTAGTAACCCTGGAAACTCACATTCGCCCAGGCTTGCTCATCACAAGCACGGCACGTGGTCTTCATGTCGCAAGCGATGAAACAGCGCTGTTCCATGCATCCTTGGCGGTTCACACGTTTAGTCCCGTTGGGGTGCTCCTGCAGTCTTCGTAAGCCAAGGATGCGCTGGCAATCCTTCAGGTGAGTTGTCCTTGAACATCCCAAAACTCGACCATTTTGCCAGATCTGTAAGGATCATCTTGAAGTGAGCATGTGGCATGTGCGTACAGTGTGGAGATATCTGGGGTGTGCTCTGCAGGGATTCTCTACGGCATGGATCTGGAGGGTGAGCATTCCAGGGGTACTCTGCCGGAAGGGGAATCTAACCATCTTGCATCGAGGGCCACGGGTATGGAAACGACCAAAACAAACTTGCACGCAATCCGGCAGCACAAGGCCGCTTTGCTTGCTTATTAGTGGGCAGCGAGAACACACAACCTCACAAAAGGCTCACCCGCTCGGATCGGGGCTGAAGGAAGCTTCTGACAACTCTGAGATGAATTATTTGACAGAACATGCCGTAAACCAAAAACTCTGACCAACGGGGGGCAAACCTGTGGAGACCCGTCTCAGAGTCTCGCAACAAACAACAAACCTCCAATAACATCCGAAACTTCTGCAAAAAATCAACATAACTTCGCTTTGGTTTTGTGAGGGTGCGGCCGGCAAAATGATGCTGCTACCGTACCCTTGGGCCGCCCTGATGTCTGAAGCCCCCTAAACAGGGTTTCGTGATGTCGGTTGCATGAATGCATCTAGAGTTGCGCAGAGCTGCTGAGCCATCTTTCAGAATGCTGAAGCAAGAACCTCCCACCGCGCACATCAGTTGCATGCCAATGCCTCTTAGCAGCTCTTTTCTGAGCTCGGTGTTCTCCACAGAAAGCCGTTCATACTCCGCACTGATAGCTAGCAGATGCCGGTGGAAAGGAGTGTCCCCATAGGTCATGGCTCGCACCCCGCGGGCCCGCGGAGTGCCTGGAGACTACCGGCAAAAATAAATCTGACCCGAATCTGACCGAACTCTTTTCTGAACAGTGAGGCTGCAAGGCCGCTGCTCCATTGTGGCAGTTCTTGTCATTCTAGTTACTTGTTCTGAGAGCGGCGAGGAGACTTGCGACAAAGAAAAACACATGCTCGTTGTGGTTCATCTTTACCAAGTCAATCTTCTGGGGCCTGGAGCCAACTGCCATGCAGCATTTTGTTACGGAAGCCAGGTGAATTCATGAAGTTGCCAAAGACATATTTCCGCGGAACTGTGCAAACTTGCAGAATGCCACCTCATGCACAGCGCACTTGGTTTCGCCAGCACGACAATTCAGTGCAAGCGCAAGGCGCAAAGGAGCGGCCTGACCGACCGGACTTGTACCATGGAGCTGCCATCCATCTACATCCAAGCGAAGCAGATGACTGCAAATCCACGTTGGGATGCTCATTGCTTCGCAAAAGAGCTTGCGCCACTAAACTATAATGTCGCTTGCATTGAAGTCATTCAGCAGCCATGGCCCCCAATAGCCTCGGACGCGGACTGGACTCTCCGACGAATCGCAGCTAGCAACAACCTGGATTAAACGACACCTGTCACAAATGTACATCTGCATGTGCACTCGCACTCTGAAGGCTGGCATGAGTGGAAGTGAAGATGTCCATCGCACATGCTCGAGCGGGCAAACTGAAACCAAGTAACCATGGTACTGAGTCTTGGCTTTGTGACACGCGGCCGCACTCTTGTAGCCCCTAATTGGGGAGTAAACGGTCTTCTGCAGCTCGTCCACTCGTGACAACATTTCGTGGAACACATCTGGCATATCGGCAGCAAGCCTTGCACAAACGGCTCTACTTGCACATCCAGCGTTAGAAAGTTCTGAAACAACAAAGACCAAGGTAGTGCATACCCAAGTGTCGATGTAGATTCACTGGGATCTTCGAAAATGTCCTTGTGAGTAGCCAATCGCCACGTCCATGCTACTAGCAATTGCATACTGTTAAAACAGCTTTGTGGTGCCCAGTCCTCTAGGCCAATCATAAAGCCGCATGTGCAAGCCCAGCATTGCTGTACACAGGACAAGTAACTTCGATTGTGGCAAGCAAGGCGCAAAGAGGCATCCATGTTGCGGATCTCGTCCACAGCGACGTGGGTGCAGAAGCGGCACCTCAGCATAAGCACATGGGCTGGAACTGTTGAAACAAGACACGTGAGAATACACCTTAAGCGACCGTAAGACCAATGCCACGGCACTAGGTGGCTGCTTGTGTTTGGCCAGTGCGGCCCAGTCATCACCTCACACATCATTCTTTGCTGTCTCTCGCTCAGTTCGCGTAACAAACATGTATGGGAAACAAAAAAGATTCGATGCCTTGTTGAGCCCTGGCTCCCCGTGCGACTTGAAAGCTGAGGCACGTTTTGACTCACCTGCTGACGAAGACCCATAGAATTCCATTTCCGTGCATCCACGCCCACGAGCAGCTTGTACCTGTGACGGGGTGTGATCAGAAAGATCCAGAGACACCTGTAGCAGAGACTGGGAAAAAGCAGTGGGTACCCCACAAACACACTGTTGAACACGGGTATGTTGCACAAGCCGGATTTCATAGGTCAAGTTGCGGCGTAATTTGTTCAGGGCGCTCGCCCTGCTTGGGTTAGCTTTAAGCTGGCGAACATCGACTTGTGACACGGGGTTGGGGAGCAGGTGCAAGGCACCGGTGGCATGCGTCACCAGCAGCCAGCATGTTGTCGTTCATCCAGTACACTGTGAGAACCCAAACAACGGGACTACATGTCTTTCTCCTGCAGACAGGTACGAGTATTGGCCCGTGCCAGAGCCTGCCGTGGATGACTCCGCCAACGAAGGTCTTGCCATCACTGTTCGGGGTTGATGAAGATGTTTCGCCGATGATGACTTCCTGCATCATCCATGTGTGCCGTCTGCCCACATGGATCCCGTGACAATGAATACATTACCGTCTCTCAGATGTGGCCCCGTCTGCTTACGAACTGAAACCCCTCAGCAGGTAGTCAATGGCAGGGCAATGAGCTGCACCACGCCGCTCAAACTTCTGCCATGTTCCTGACGTGGTGACCGCGCAGTTGCTCCGGACAGCCACGGCCACAGGTTCTCAGCTGCAGCAAAGCAAGGGGTATTCTTTGGCTTTCCCATCCGGTTCCTTCGAAACAACTACATCCTGCATCCTGCCTACAAGATATGGAAAGCATTGACACTTATTACGATTCTAGGCACTTGCAAAGCGTGAAAGCACGGCGCCCACAAATCTTACAGCAACTTGCACCCGCCTCTCTTTGCACATGGCCTGCACCTATGCGAGGGAAACAAGTGGTCTGTGTTGCACAGCGAATTGTGTGTCTTTGGGCTGGCCTAGGTCGGCGCATGCCGGCGGACTGGGCTGCAGCGGCTGACAGTACGTGATTTGGCAATCTTGTCCTTCTATTGTCCATGCTGCTTTCTTCTGTCGCATGTTGCAGCAGCTGGTAAAGCAGCAGCAGTGAAACGCCTAGTTGACTCTCAATAGCATCCAAGCCACCAGCGAATCATGTGGTGGCAGCCCAGCTGCCGCCGCCTGATGATCGAAGGGATCCACCCCAGCCAACGCCGCGTAGGTGGCATACCTGAAGCGGAGGCCGAGCACGCTCCCCTCCCCCGGATCCCCTGAGCTGACAAGCTTTAGGCAAAGAGTCCAATCCCATGCTGCAGCAAAGCCCTCATCTCGCGTACCACGACCTGATCCGAAAGAAGTGCAACCAGTACCGGAACGAAGTGCAAAGCTCTCATTCGCAATACAAGGGTGTGCCAGAACAAACTACCATCAGGGCCACTGAGCTCCCAGGCAAATGCCTCCAGGCTGGAAGCATGTGATGAAGGAATGATTGGACCATTTGAAAAAAACAAGATTGACGAGTTCTCGCCTGAAACAAGGGGCTCTGTAGTAGCTGCTAGTCAAGTCGGGAATGACGAGAAGGAAGGGAGCGGGGTACTCGGAATGTGAATGTGAAAATGAAGGGGCCAAAAACATGCCAGCTCAGAGCGGCTATTTCCGGTTCGTTCTCAGGAAGCGGCGAAACGGTGGAACAAGCCCACCTGTCACGAAGGCATTGACACCTCAGCACAGCTCACCACAAAAAGCTCTTCACCTCCCGTGGAATGGCCAAGGAACGGATTCCGCCCTCGAAGTTGGAGAACTTACCTTGTGCCGTGCATTTGTACACTATGGTACACTCTCACGGGCTGCACGGCTGCTGGCTCCCTCAATCTCCACACCAACTGGCCCTGCCTCCACGCAAGGGCCAATTGTTGCCTCCGCATATGCCAGCACCCATGATCTCGCCGCCGTTGTCGCTGTGAAAGACAACAAGGCTTTGATTCCACATCTCCCTCTCCTGTCAGAGCATACATGCCCAGCATGCGCAGGCAGGTGTGCTTAAGCGGGCTAGTGTGAAATTGGAGTCTTCACCAAGAATGCCAAAAAGAGGAGCTTGCTGAAAAAAGGCTACGTGCAATCGAAGTCAGAATAATTAAAGATTGATCCAAAAGGAAGTATTGCGTCCCCTGCCGTTGACCTGCTTGCATTTTCATCAGCGATCCAAATAACAAGCGTTCGGCGCTATGCCACGACAAGTTGCGACATCTTTATCAGCACGGGTCCGAGGCCCCTGTCAGCATTGTTTAAATGCAGACATACTCGTAAAACTAGCACAAACATGTCCATTCAAAAACAGCGCCCAAAAAGAAATCAACGAGACTTGGTCGAAAGTGTGACGCCTGTCTTCCTCAGATTCATTTAGCGAAGAGCTCTTCTCTTCCGATGCCAGAATCAGAAGCTAGATAAGATTTGTCTACCAGGGGTCTAGAAGAATAAGGTGTTCTAATGTTAAGCAAACTTGCAACTGAGAAAACATAATTCTAGCTCTCGTTGAAGCCAAAAGATAGATAATGCCTCTTTATTTGTTCAACGAACAAGGTTTTAGGACCACATCGTCTCACGAAAGATGCCCATTCGCGAACTTCATGTGTTTTCTCATGGCCGAAGACAACACAACACAACATTCTCCCATATTCTCTCGCTACTGAGCCCGAAAGGATGTATGCAGATGTATTCGGGATCTCGCTGTTGCGGAGAAAGTCTTCTCATATCCGCCGAGGCCTCGGGCCGAAGGTGTATAGGTTGTCAGAACAGGCACCCCCCTATCGGACCCCTAAGATACCTGAAATGGGTACCCCTAGGCAACCATCCCTCTGCACGTGGATGGTTCGCCAGGATTAGAGGCAGTTGAAGCCCGGCCCCCCAACCCCCCCCCCCCCACCCCCCCCACCCCCCCCCACCCTACTTCCACCCCCCGTCCCCTCCCGTGAGCCAATCCCAAAAGCTGCCACAGCCTGACGGTTGGTTGCTTTTCCTGGCGCGGGACGCTCTGGCTTGAGGGCCCGAGGCTCAACTGGTGTGAGCACTGCCGGGGATGCATTAGGTTGCACGAATCCTATCCACTAAACCCTGAATCTTGAACCTTGAAACCCCTAAACCCTAAACCTTAAGCCCTAAGCACTCAACCCTCAACCCTCAACCCTCAACCCTCAACCCTCAACCCTCGACCCTCGACCCTATACCCTGAACCCTAAACTAAACCCTTAACCATCAACCCTAAACCCTAAACCCAACCCTTATCCGCCGAGGGGCCGAACCAAATCCTCCCCCCAAGCCCAAACCCAATTGTATCCCCCGTGGGCGACCACAATCTGAAAGCGGACAGTTCGCCAGGACCAGGGGCAGTTGAAGCCCCGCCCTGCAGGGCGCCCCCTTCCCACCCCTCACCCCGCCCCCTCACCCCGCCCCCCCCCCCCCCCCCCCCCCCCCCCCCTGTCCTGCCACCCCTCACACCCAAAAACCCTAAACCCGAAACCGTGAACCTTGAGCCCTCAGCCCTCAACCCTTAACTAACCCTCAACCCTAAGCCCCAAAACCATAAACCATAAACCCGGAACCCTAAACCCTAAACCCAACCCTTATTGCTTGGGGTCCAGCGACTTGGGCGCTGCGGAATCACCATGCTCACGCGGATGCGCTGAGCCGGGCCGAGGCGGGTCGCGTAGCGTTAAAATTACGTCGAACTGGGGAAGATGTTCTGGTTGTTTCGGCGTTGGCCCCGGCACGAATGCTCAAATCAGAATCATGAGCTGCTTGATAAGCCGACATGTGCATGACTGGGAGGTGTTCGGTGCCTTGAGCAACTGCATCACCTCCCCGACCTGCTCGTCCATATAGTTCACCATAGCATGCAGCAAACGCCGGTGCTTCTCCTTGACAAATGCAAACCTCCGGTGGATGGCTGAACCCTACTTCCACTCCAACTCACCGTGCATCTGCAAAAAAGATGAAATCATTGCGCATTGATCCGAGCATCTTTTGCTCATAAGCAGTAGGCACTTGCAGCGGCATGTGGACCAAATGCATCGACCAGAAGAGAAAGAGCGGTATGGATAGGTCGTGCTCCCGAATCACATTCTTGACAGCACCGGTGAGAAGAGATTCTTCATACACACACGTCTCATTCGGTGGACTCTGATTCTCTTGGGAGCATGAGGCGCCGTTTGCAAGCTCCCATGCCGGACCATCGTAGCTTGCATTGTAGAGCCAAAGATCCCTCATCTTGTGAACTCCACAGTGGTCAACGGTGTGTTGCCAATAATCATTGCTGTGATGCCAGTATCCCAGCCAGCTGTCGTAGCCGCGAGCTTTGGGATGATGCGAAGCCGTTGCCATACCTATGTCCCACTTTCCGACCAGATGCGTTCGGTAGCCGGCAGCACGCAAGTGGCTTGCCACCCCGGTCATGCTCACCGGGACTCCTTGAAACCCACCCTGCACGTCCCGAGGGTTCTTGCATTCTGGATTAACATTTTGAACATTCACGTGAATAGGATTCCGTCCGGTCTGGATTGCACTTCGTGCCGGAGAACAGAATTGGTAGGTATAGAAGCGGTCCAACTCGATTCCGGACCTGCACATGAGCCAAGCTGTCAACAAATTAAAAGGTGCACAGCCGCATTGGCTCGAGCACATTTAAGATTCTTGCAAGCGGTGCGTGATCTGCTTTGGGGGACTACGTACTTCTGCTTGCTCCGTAGCCCAGGATGGTTGGTTTAAGAGTCTGAGCCAAGACCACAAACAGCCAACAAGCCCCGTTTCGTCACCGAGATCATCCCGGAATCCTGAATGAGGAGCCGGGGATGTCCGCACCAGGCCACCCGGCCCACCCGTTGTCCCACGCCTGCCTGTATTTTTCTGCATTGCCAGGATTTGTCAACTGCAACTAGAAAATCGTTGTTTTCAAGTGGCTCCAAACGGCTTCAAGCGGCTGTGGGAGACCCTTGCCAGACTAGAGAGAAATGCAGGAATGTTTTCGTTGAGAAGCTCTCTTGATTTGCATGACTTTTAAGATAAGGAGACCCGACCGCCCAAAAGTTGCACGGTTGTCGCCCTTCCCCCAGCCCACCCAGCCCCGCTTAGAGAAATGCAGGCCGTGCAATCGGGCAGATCTTTTCCCCAGCATGTCCGAAAATAAACATGGCAGGGCGGAACTGCTCCGCGGTGTCATAGTACTATGAGTTGCGCAAGCTCCGTGCAGAGGAGGTGGCGCTGGCGTGGAAAACGATGCCAAAGCAGGCTTGGGGTTTGCAGCTTTGGGTTTGCAGCTTTCGTGCCGTCTCGGAGGCGCTGGTCTGGGATCGGGCTCTGGGGGTTAACTAGGGTTCTAGGATTAACAAACCTTTGTTCAGGGATCCGGCATTTAAAAACCTTTCGGGCTTCAGGATGCCCGGTTTATATTTGGGCTGATTTGCAAGCTCAGGCTGTGGTTGTGGCCATGCAGCACACGTGGAAAGGTTGGCGACCGATCATTTTAACCCCCCCCCCCACCCGATGTGATTACCGAAGGCCAAATCGCAGCCAGTTTAGTACAGCTTTTGAGGACTGAGGCAAGTGCTTTGCCAGCGCATCCAAGTTGGGCGTCTGGACATCAGAATCTCTCGTTTCACGATGGTAACCTCAGCCGAAGCAGAACAAAATGCGGAATTGCTCATGCATCCGAAGCTGAAACAACCGCTTTGACACACTCGGAATTACGAGGGTACGGGCATGTACCGGCACACAAGTTTAACGGCAGAGTTCGGTTTTTGAAATGTTCAAAGACCTAAGTGGTTGAAGGATTGCACAAACGGTTTGAGAGCATTACAGGTTTAGGGTGGATCTAGGCTTTGAGGAACTCTCCGACCGCACAGCTTGTTACTGGGTAGCATCCAGCTTGGGGGAAGTCAGAATTCTCACAAATGAACACCAGTCGCTGTAGCCTTCTCTGTGTCAGCTGCAGTCTGCTGCAGTCGTCCGTTCAGATTTTCTGAGTTGTTTTGAATGTGGTGTCGCGTCGTCTTCGTTTGCAGGGGTTTTGGGGTTTGGGCTCAGGGAGATGGGCCGTGAAATGATGTTCTTGGGAGACTTGTAAACTCACGAGGCTTCCTTGCCTCAAGGTTCACCTTCATTTTTGACACTGGTCTGCATTGTAGGGTCTCACATCTATTCACAACGCGAGTCTTCGATTGCTGGCAAGGCGGCCATGTTCCAGTCACGAGGCTCCACCCATGGAAGACTCGTAAGACCAGTGCACAGATTGCAGACAGGCAGCCAATGTCAGCCCAGCCAAAGTCATCAGCCAAGATATGGATGATGTGAGGCTTGACGGATGCAGCTTCAGCCTGAGGCCACGTTAAACAAGGCTGTCTTGAATGAGTTGCTCACTTCTGCTTTGCTAGAAGTTCGCCGCTCTACTCCATACATCTAAGGCCAACGCGTTGGTCTGCTGCAAGGCCAGAACAAGGAAAAGGATGGGTCTCCGGAGCGGCATGGCAAGTACTTGAGTCATTTGTTCACTACAAGCCTCTCACTTTGTTGGGAGAATTCGGATACGCTGTCAGGGCATGATCGTCCATGTGTCCTTGCGCTTTGAGCTCAGCCGTGCACAACACGCCCTGTGTTCCTGGAATGGCGGGTGCCGAAAGCTTGATCGAAATGTCTTCATGCTCCACTTGCATGTCTGAGCCAACGCACAAATTCCAGAATTTCCATAATGACTAAACAGGTCAGTGCAGAACCCCTCATCATGACCAAATAGGTCGTGCCAAAGTCACAACGAATCTTGGGCAAGGCTGGACCGTGGCAGAATCAGGTCTAGTAGCTGGTATGAGGTTCTTCACAAAGCGTCAGACCCGAAAGATGATTTGGAAGTCTCATCATCAGCCACAAATCACACCGCAAAGTGACCATGCTTGGCTGGGCCATGCTGTGCCAGAACCACACACAACGTCAACAAGTCAGGTCGTGCCAAAGTCACAACGAATCTTGGGCAAGGCTGGACCGTGGCAGAATCAGGTCTAGTAGCTGGTATGAGGTTCTTCACAAACCGTCAGACCCGAACGATGATTTGGAAGTCTCATCATCAGCCACAAATCACACCACAAAGTGACCATGCTTGGCTGGGCCATGCTGTGCCAGAACCACACGCCACGTCAACAAGTCAGGTCGTGCCAAAGTCACAACGAATCTTGGGCAATGCTGGACCGTGGCAGAATCAGGTCTAGTAGCTGGTATGAGGTTCTTCACAAACCGTCAGACCCGAAAGATGATTTGGAAGTCTCATCATCAGCCACAAACCACACCACAAAGTGACCATGCTTGGCTGGGCCATGCTGTGCCAGAACCACACACCATGTCAACAAGTCAGGTCGTGCCAAAGTCACAACGAATCTTGGGCAAGGCTGGACCGTGGCAGAATCAGGTCTAGTAGCTGGTATGAGGTTCTTCACAAACCGTCAGACCCGAAAGATGATTTGGAAGTCTCATCATCAGCCACAAATCACACCGCAAAGTGACCATGCTTGGCTGGGCCATGCTGTGCCAGAACCACACACCATGTCAACAAGTCAGGTCGTGCCAAAGTCACAACGAATCTTGGGCAATGCTGGACCGTGGCAGAATCAGGTCTAGTAGCTGGTATGAGGTTCTTCACAAACCGTCAGACCCGAAAGATGATTTGGAAATCTCATCATCAGCCACAAATCACACCCCAGAGTGGCCATGCTTGGCTGGGCCATGCTGTGCCAGAACCACACACCATGTCAACAAGTCAGGTCGTGCCAAAGTCACCACGAATCTTGGGCAAAGCTGGACCGTGGCAGAATCAGGTCTAGTAGCTGGTATGAAGTTCTTCACAAACCGTCAGACCCGAAAGATGATTTGGAAGTCTCATCATCAGCCAAAAATCACACCGCAAAGTGAACATGCTTGGCTGGGCCATGCTGTGCCAGAACCACACACCATATCAACAAGTCAGGTCGTGCCAAAGTCACAACGAGTCCTGGGCAAAGCTGGACCGTGGCAGAATCAGGTCTAGTAGCTGGTATGAGGTTCTTCACAAACCGTCAGACCCGAAAGATGATTTGGAAGTCTCATCATCAGCCACAAATCACACCACAAAGTGACCATGCTTGGCTGGGCCATGCTGTGCCAGAACCACACACCATGTCAACAAGTCAGGTCGTGCCAAAGTCACAACGAACCTTGGGCAAGGCTGGACCGTGGCAGAATCAGGTCTAGTAGCTGGTAGGAGGTTCTTCACAAACCGTCAGACTCGAAAGATGATTTGGAAGTCTCATCATCAGCCACAAATCACACCACAAAGTGACCATGCTTGGCTGGGCCATGCTGTGCCAGAACCACACACCATGTCAACAAGTCAGGTCGTGCCAAAGTCACAACGAATCTTGGGCAAGGCTGGACCCTGGCAGAATCAGGTCTAGTAGCTGGTATGAGGTTCTTCACAAACCGTCAGACCCGAAAGATGATTTGGAAGTCTCATAATCAGCCACAAATCACACCGCAAAGTGACCATGCTTGGCTGGGCCATGCTGTGCCAGAACCACACACAACGTCAACAAGTCAGGTCGTGCCAAAGTCACAACGAATCTTGGGCAAGGCTGGACCGTGGCAGAATCAGGTCTAGTAGCTGGTATGAGGTTCTTCACAAACCGTCAGACCCGAAAGATGATGTGGAAGTCTCATCATCAGCCACAAACCACACCACAAAGTGACCATGCTTGGCTGGGCCATGCTGTGCCAGAACCACACACCACGTCAACAAGTCAGGTCGTGCCAAAGTCACAATCAACGTATCTTGGGCAAGGCTGGACCGTGGCAGAATCAGGTCTAGTAGCTGGTATGAGGTTCTTCACAAACCGTCAGACCCGAAAGATGATTTGGAAGTCTCATAATCAGCCACAAATCACACCGCAAAGTGACCATGCTTGGCTGGGCCATGCTGTGCCAGAACCACACACAACGTCAACAAGTCAGGTCGTGCCAAAGTCACAACGAATCTTGGGCAAGGCTGGACCGTGGCAGAATCAGGTCTAGTAGCTGGTATGAGGTTCTTCACAAACCGTCAGACCCGAAAGATGATGTGGAAGTCTCATCATCAGCCACAAACCACACCACAAAGTGACCATGCTTGGCTGGGCCATGCTGTGCCAGAACCACACACCATGTCAACAAGTCAGGTCGTGCCAAAGTCACAACGAATCTTGGGCAAGGCTGGACCCTGGCAGAATCAGGTCTAGTAGCTGGTATGAGGTTCTTCACAAACCGTCAGACCCGAAAGATGATTTGGAAGTCTCATAATCAGCCACAAATCACACCGCAAAGTGACCATGCTTGGCTGGGCCATGATGTGCCAGAACCACACACAACGTCAACAAGTCAGGTCGTGCCAAAGTCACAACGAATCTTGGGCAAGGCTGGACCCTGGCAGAATCAGGTCTAGTAGCTGGTATGAGGTTCTTCACAAACCGTCAGACCCGAAAGATGATGTGGAAGTCTCATCATCAGCCACAAACCACACCACAAAGTGACCATGCTTGGCTGGGCCATGCTGTGCCAGAACCACACACCACGTCAACAAGTCAGGTCGTGCCAAAGTCACAATCAACGTATCTTGGGCAAGGCTGGACCGTGGCAGAATCAGGTCTAGTAGCTGGTATGAGGTTCTTCACAAACCGTCAGACCCGAAAGATGATTTGGAAGTCTCATCATCAGCCACAAATCACACCGCAAAGTGACCATGCTTGGCTGGGCCATGCTGTGCCAGAACCACACACCACGTCAACAAGTCAGGTCGTGCCAAAGTCACAACGAATCTTGGGCAAGGCTGGACCCTGGCAGAATCAGGTCTAGTAGCTGGTATGAGGTTCTTCACAAACCGTCAGACCCGAAAGATGATTTGGAAGTCTCAACATCAGCCACAAACAACAGTTGATCACGCCCCCCATAGTCACAATGTTCAGCCATGGCAGAATCACATGAAGCCAGTTCCCCTGAATAGGTCAGCTTCGCGTGATTTCAGTTGCGCGAATCGTGCGAAGCCAGCTTCCAGAATCGGAAAGTTTCCTGAACCACGCAATTTAATTTGCAGAACCGCGGTTTCCTGAATCTGGCTAGTTTCCTGAATCGAATCGCGGGAGTTCCTAGTTTCCCTCAGTCCTGGCTTCCTGAAGCGTGGGTAGTTTTCTTGATTTCAGGCTTCCGCAGCATCGCACTCATATCGTCTTCCAAGAACGAGATGCTTTGGTTGAACCCAAGTGCAACTGAAACACTACGAAGACAACACAATCGCGCCGTCTTTCCAACTGCCAGCTGCGTCGGTTCCCGGCTTGTCAACCTTGCAAGCGCCACCGAAGCTTCACAGACACCCTCGTCAAATGTTTATGTTCTAGCCGCCCAATCCATATGACCAAGCCACAAGGACGAGTCTGACGAGAAGTGCGATGAGCTCGACATTTGCAAGGCCAGACTAGAAAATGTGCCGACTCTGCCGAGTCACGAAGTACTAAGAAGAGGCCGAAAGACGCTGCCACGGCACATGTACAGAGCATCATGAGGCGGTACCTGGGACTCGAACTAGCACATGATAACAAAATGAAACGCAGCAGTGCCTGCATGCTGTCGTCATCAAACAGTTGCAATACTTCATGACACTTCATGAGCTATCACGCAGAAAGCCGGGTGACTCACGCTTGGAGACGTCCCCAGACTGGCCATGCAGCCGCCAAACCAGGTGAGCCTGCACCACCTTCTGAAGTGCCTGTCCAGGGGCATACGCAGACTGACTCGGATGGAAATTCGAATCTCTTAGCCACAAATTTTGATCTGAGTTGGGTGGTCATACGAAACCGGTCGACATAACTTAAGCGAAGTGATGGTCAGGCTTTGCGTGATGGAATGCGTCGATATAGCTCCTGTTGTCTGTGCGATTGACAGAGACTGGTTTAATCAAAGCAATCAACTCGTGGTGTCTCGCACCAGTTGACAGCAGTAAATCTCGGAACTCGAAACGCAGGTTCGTCTGCTCTTAGACCTCCTCTGGCGACAGGAGTCGAAGTCGTGGAGCGACTGCTGCACATTGCCTGCAAACCAGGGTCTTGCATTGTCTCGCATGCGGGTCCTCAAACGAGAATGGTGCCTCTACCTGCTACATTGCTTCACCTTCTTACACCGTGCTACACACACGACACTTGCCGGCATCTTCAGGCCCTCGTACAGCCTTCTGCGCATCAGCAGGTCAGCATTGGCAGAAGGGAAAGGCCCTCGCGGGCGCGCACTCTTTGCAATGAGGTCCTTCCTTTGCAGACGACAGGTCAGACAAGAACAATTTTCCTTGCTGTGCCTTCACTGAACCTCCACCGCTGGGTGCTGTGTGATGAAAAGTAGCGAAGTGATGTAGTGGCGCCAATGCTGAAACAGTGCTGATGCAAGTCTGCTGTATGAAGCGCATCTGGACAAATCTGCTCAATGCTTTTCAGGGTCCTCATTGGCAGCGAAAGCGATTCATGATCTCCCACTGTAACCTGATTTCATGGGAAAGCAAACTCATACCAAACGTGCACAACTGGCTAGTGTCAGCTCATAAACCACCGACAACAACACCAGCAATACCAGCACACACCCCAACAAGCCACACCAAGACCAACACCAAAACCACCACCACCACCACCACGACCAGCAGCAGCAGCAGCAGCACCACCACCACCACCACCAGCTCCATCACCACAACCATTAGCAACATCATTATCAGTTCAACAACAATCACCATCGAACGCTGGCCTCATGTGGAGCATCTTTGAACTGGTACTTCACGTAGAGGCTAAGCTCCACGTCCAAATCCAGGGGTACTGGGTTGTAGAAACCTGGAAGGTCCGCCTGGCAACATGGCCACAAATTGGATCTCTCTGCAAACAACAAGAAGAATCGAGCCTTTGACGCAGTGATCCCCCCATGCAGTACAATCCTGTGCTCGTCCACCTGAGCTGGTCTTCCAGGTGAAGAACTTCGTTAAACTTCATTGCGAAGTCAAGGGCCTGTTGTTTGGTGGCTGGACAGCTTGGAAGGTCCCCACGCATTCCGACGCATCAGGTCAAGAGCACTCAACAATGCTAGCTGCAACAAGTTGAAGCGATCAATGTGCGGGACCTGTTGAGGATATTTGGGCTTCACTTCTGACAGTTGCATGCAAAACAGCACATGCGTAAAGATACCTAAACGAACTAGCAAGAGCGCACGCTATATATATATATATGCTTGCATCAAGACCTTGACATTCTGCAAACTATCCCAAGCCACCAAGCATTGCACAGCCGTGGTCACATCTATCCATGGTCCTGCCAAGTCCTCGGCACCAATGGGCCTGTGCATGCAAACTAATTCTGCAGAAAGGAGAACTGTGGTTTTCCCAGTTGGGGACATGCTAGTCCCTGTGCACACCATGATCTGGCCTGTCTCCAACCAATGCATCTTGAAGGCTCTCTTCGCGCAACTGCAAATTGCCATAGAGTGCCTAGCTGCAGTGCTGCGCACACGAAATCAGAAGAGGCGTTCTTCGTGTGAATACAATACAACGTGGAGTAGATATACTGAGAGGTAGCTAAGGACACCGCGAGCAGTCTTCCACTGTTTCAGATCAGCTATCAGCTGTGCAGCATACACGTGCGACGAACAGCCCATACGGGGGGGCGGAAGACTTCAAGAGCCAACTCCATGTACGCAATTGACGCAATGGACGTTTGGCAGTTTGGCGTCCCGAGCCGCCCTAATTCTGCCAAATGCCGCTAAGCCCACACACAGCCACACATCAATCTCCACAGCCCCCCATTTGCTCATTTTATCTCATATTGCTGGCACCGACTCGAGATGCTAGGTCGCTTCAGCGTGGATTTGCGGGATGAGGGCTTCAGGGAGTTGAAGACGTAAAGACCGCATTTCAATGCAGTTCAAGAATTTCTCCATTCCCTAGCCGGTGCTCCTGGTCGAAGCCCTGCAGCAGCGACTTTACGCCTTCATGCTTTTGGGTTCTTGGGCCAGTGGATGCCGATGGCCGAGGCAGACCGCCAATCAGTCAAATGACATTTAACCTGTTGCCCGGCGTGTTGCAAATGCGCTGGAAGCGTGTTGGGACATGCAACAGCTTGAATGCAAACCGAATTGTTGGGAGCACTGGCCTGCGTGACAAGCAAGCCTCTGACCTTCTGCTCTCTTTGCATGATTCGGCGAAGCTGCACCTGCTCCAATCTCCAGCAGGCTGGTACTTAAAACCAAAAAAAATGTGCCTGCAAAACTATGCACTAACGAACGCGTGCAGCCCTGTCGTGAACCAGCACTGCGTGGCCTTTTGCCCGCGATCTCCATCTTTCACTGACTTGCGTGTTGTGCCCAATCCGTTCAGTGATGTACTTATTTGCCTGTTGCTTCTTCATTTTGGGATCCTACGTTTCCTAGCGACCTAGTCTGGTCATCTTTTGCTTCTACATCTCGAAGCGACCTGCTAACAAACAGCAGAACGTTTCAAGTGCCGTCCTGATGCGCAAGGCATTCAGAGTCGCCCGGCCTGCATGTTTTCAAGGTCAACTTCTGCCTGTTCCTGCAGGAGTCTCTCTTCCTTTGACCGTGAAGTGCAAAACGAACCAACCAAACAGCAAACTCACCAAGAGGCATCCTTGAAGCGCTTCATCAAGAGTTCTTGGCCTTCCGGCCCCACGGACTCCACGGATGATCTTCCAAAGGTTCGCAGATCATATCGAAGCCTGGCACAAAAGGTTGTACCAGATCTCGGCGAACCAACTTTCAATCATCAGGCACGCAGGCATCTGGGCATATGGAAAGCTGACCTTTGATCGCCTGTGATCCGTCTTACATGCATCACAGGCAAGAAATCGGCCACACTGAAAAACCAGACTAAAGGGAAACAACTGGCGCGCAGGAAATGTCCTGGGCAAAAAATGTGCGCCATCAGAGTATGCGACAGTACTGGCTTAGAACTCCCAACAGCAACAAATGCCAAAGCCTCTGTGTCTTTGAAAAGTGGCCTCCTGGCAATGGCCTGACCACTACTTTCAAAACGCCTCGCTATCAAGCTCACGGAACTGGCATCCGACGTTAACCTAGTTGAGGTTCTTCAAACAGTTTTTTTTCGCGAAATTGAAGAAACGGCTGTAGCCTCCGTGTTGGATTAGACAGGCAGCGCCACGCATTTTGCACCTCCACACAGCCAATTCTCCAGGCATTGCAGCAAAGCAACAAACCAGAGCATGACGGCTCAAATATCATGATGACGAATCCTCTGTGCCCTTGCCTCGTGGAAGCGTTCATCTGCAGCACGACTTCGACGGCTGCCTTTGAGCGTGCCGTGCGTACATGAGTTCAGAAAGCTCCTTCAAGAAACTTGCCTTTGTCGGGATGAAGCTCGCGCATGAGACGATGGTACCTCATTGCATTGCGGACAACTAACTTCTGGCTGGCTTGCTGCATACATCACTTGACACTTGTCATAAGTTCGACAACAAACATAATCAAAGCATCTCAAGTATCCACCGTGGCCCACGTCCAAGTTTCCCCCCCCCCCCCCCCCGTTTCTCCGGTACCCATAGCCGACTGGCCCCTGGGCATGAACATTGAGTTTGAGGGCGACTCCTAGAATAAGGCAATCTCTCAAAAATCTAAAATGCGTGGGCTGCTACTGGAAGTACGGGGCGCACTTGGACGGCAACATCATTCTTCAGGGGTCAGCCACGATTCTATTTCTGGGGATGCCGAGCTGGCCTGGCTCGTAAGAGACCTGAGGCTTGAGTTGGGGGCACGGCCGAGGCGGCCCACGTAGCGATAAAATTGGCAAAAACTTCTGGTTGATGGCAATGCATTGATTGATGCATACTGAGGAAATGAATGCGTCTCAGAGACGTTCTGCGGATTTGTTCTGCAGATGCATCCCATGGTACCTCCAGGATTGCCTCAGCTGAATCGGTTTTGCTCATAAGCATAGACATCACAATCACTTGCATCCTGGACGGCTTGCCACTTGCCACCGGGTGACATAGTAGCTATTCCGGACAGTTGGAAGAGGTGGAGGTTCGCTGTCACTGGATGGCGACATAGACCAAGATGTAAATCTGAAACTTAACACGGCTTGGATACTTAGTGGCGCATCATCCATGTCCACTTGCAGACATGACCAAGTGCCAGGATAATCTCACTGCTCGTGCTTAACAACTGAATGCTGCCGTCGCCATGCGTGTCATGGCTGGTCTTTGAGTCATACCAAGATGCTCCACAGTAGCAATGGTTTTCAAGCCAAGCCACAGCCATTCACTAGCCAATAACTCGTTCGAAAGTTCGGATCATGTTTTGCATAATGGCAACTCTTCATGGCAGCATCCCTCAAAGCTCGGATGATGTGACTCCTGCAGGGACAACTCCCAACAAGGCTTAGAGTTTGAGAAGACTCTAACCAGAGGCAAACACACCTCTCACAAAGAATTAGGCAAGTCTAGGAACGGCATCGTCCAGAACCGTTTCGTCTGAGCGCATTATTCTTCGGATGCGCAGAAGCCTTTGCTAAGCTCTGTGGCTGCGCACGTAAGAGGCAATTTGAATTCCGAGGGTCCGAGGGCACCATGACTGCATTAGAGCTATTTTGGCCTTCACACGCGGTTCCTTAATGGAAATTTCCTTGCTAGAGATGGTGGTTGCACAATCTTCAGAAGCTTGACTGTGGGCTGTAGCCAGGCAAGTTCATTCACCAATGACTGGCTCTTTCGGGGCGGGGGTTACGCTGCGCCAGCACGACCCTCGCTACAGTCCCATCAGGAATCACTCCGAGTCCTCTGTCATGGGCCTGCACGTGCCGAGCCATCCTCCCTGATTCGAAGACAAACCACCTTTGCCGAATGAAGCGAATGAAGGTTGTTTCCCACAGATGGCTGGGCAACACACCCCATTCCGTGCGAACGCAGCAGACTGACAGAATCTCGCAACACCCCCACAGGCATGGAGGACTTCTGTGTTAGGCAGGGGGCTTGAGGAGCTTGAAAGCCAGTCGATGAGACATGCCCAGCCTCCTTGGACACGATCCAGCCTGCTCGGAGTGGCAATCCGATGTCTCTCGCTGAGACTCTGTTTGGAGTGTTTGAAGTGTAGCTGCCTTCATCACGTGCCACCTCCACCTCAAGTTAACTCTTGCATTCTTGTTCTCTCTTCTACTCTTCTAACAGCAACTATCTTCGCGATTGCTACAGGAGTGACGCCAAACCACTCAAGTCCAGTCCTTGTTCCATGCACTTCAGGCCGGAGTTGTGGAAATTCGAGACCTGTGAAAGCAAGAGCGAATTTGCTCGTGCCGTTCTGCATCTGGCCATGTGCTTGTGCGGGTCTTGCACCAGCCATAAACGCGTGCTTCTAATTCGCCCGACTTCACGCACGGTCGGTGCCGGATTTGCCGCCAAGTATGGTTCACAGCTACCGGGCAAGGAAGTTTCGTGGGTTTTGAGGCAGTTCTTGTGGATTCAATTCTACATGCTGGAATTGGCCTTGCACTCGCACCCTGGGTCCTGCACCCTCTTGAACGGTGTCAACCCAGCCATGAAATACGCATCGCTCCAAAACCCTGATGGCTCATCCCAGGTATGAACCGACAATAGCTGCCCCATTACAACAGCTCTCATTTCATGGGCACGATGCTGAAACCTCAACTCCATTCAACTCCATTCAACTCCATTCAACTCCACTTTCAGCTCCACTTTCAGGCCTCTTCATCTTTGCGGCAATCTCCCGCACAGCCTTGATGCCATCCTTGGCGGCGTCCTGCATCTCCGGCTCTGCTAAGAAGAGTGCTTCGGAATAGACGGAGTAGTACGGTGTAATAGGGATCATCACATTCTCTTTGAGTCCCTACGACTTCACCCGGCACATCCCAGCAGCTCGCCCGACCGACTGCCCCTCCCTGACACTTGATGCCTCAGCACTGTGCTGTAAGCTCGAGGGCATCAACTGTGCGATGATGCGTGTGCGCAAGCATCGACATCATTGGCACAATTGGGCACTCGTTGGGGCTGGCTTCGCCTTTGTCTAAGACCCTGAAGGACTTTCTAATGTTTGTGAGCCTCATGGAGTCGTTAGCAAGAGTGCGATGCGTGTTTAATGCTAGTAGCAACTGGTTAGCAAGGGCAATGCTGTCAATCCCATGTCGCTCTACACCGAAGACAATACAGGTAAGGCCCGGCAGTGGCTGCCCTGGCTGCCCCGCGAGCGTGCGCTGGTAAAACATCTCCCACCTCCATTTTGTCGGCATCTTCTTGCGCTTGGTCTCTGTCGACCCGACAGGGCCCGCCTCCAAAACAGACTGGTGATCGTCTTGACCGTTCCGTCACTCACCGGACCACCGTCGCATATCATCGCTGAGTTCATCAAGCGAATGCTGGCACACACGGATACCCATAGGACACAATGAATCAAAGCTGCATGTGCGACGGTCTTCAGCCCCTTGCGGATGCACATCGTTCTCTGACGGCCTTCGAAAACAGCGAACAGTTGCATCACTTTCGCTTTCAGAGTAGAGTCCATAGCAGACCGGCCTGCGGCGGCAGCATCAAGGCCCAAATAGACCTGAAGGTACACATTGGCTCCAGCACTCAGGCAGCACCTATGCTGCACGATGGCGCATTGAGCGGCGCTCCGTCTCATTTATCCCTGGATCCGCTTGCGCTGACCCCGCTTCGAAGCGCAAAGTCCGGGTTAAGGAGCGTCCACACCAGTGGATCCTGCTCTGAAGTCATGTTGGCCAAGCGCAAGCCCTTGTAAATTTATTGCCGGAATCGAAACATACAACATGCTACAGACTCTTTGAGTTCAACTGTCTACGTAGGCACGGGGCTTCGGTGAATGTCCAAAAACAAGTCGTTCTGAAAAATCAAGCCCTTGCAAAGAAAACACCCGCGTGATGCTCGGCAGCGGGCCTCTGCTTGGAAGGTAGGCTCCTCAAGGAGCAACAAAGAGCTTCGCAGCTTCTCATTGTCAGCATTGTGCCTCTACATTCTCTACCTAAGAAATCTCAACTTGCATGTTTTCTCAGCGGCAGTTGCTCTCACGAACTTTCACTAGAATGGTTGCAAATTTGACAGCCCGTTGTCGACATGCTGGGGCCGCAGGCTCCGCTGTGGCGAGTTCGAGCATCAACCACTTTGGCCTCCACAGACTCGATGCCACCCCTGCAATGCGCGGGTCGGCCACGAGATGAGGAATGAAGTACGATAGCCATGTACTGAGTTCTGTGTGGCGACGTCTTGGCATGCAAAGCCAAAGACAAGAATCTTGTCCCAAGTGCAAAAGTTAGTATCGCAATGATACTGGTACTGCTTCGCTTCATCATAATCGTCGTACTCCGAAATAAAGCATGACAACGTAACAGCGTCATAATCATGTGAGCATTCTGAGGTCTACGACGGTCTACGGATCATGTCGTGGGAATGCAAAGATCATTTGGCTGGCGTTGGGGGAACGGAGGGGGAGGGTCGGGGAGAATCAGGCGAGGAGAATATACAGCAATACAGCTTTGTTTCGAATCCAACAACCCCGCACGGCTGGGAGCTAGGCCCTGGTGTGATGACCGGACGTGGTTTGCGAGCTTCCCTGCCATCAGCGCCGTCACTGCGTGACCTGAGATGACACATCGATGACATACATCCGACTTTACATCCGACAAACGTCTTGCGACGTCATGTCACCGCGTCGCCTCGACTGGGAGTGTGCTGGCCGTCGAGGAGGCGACCTCTTCGACACGAGTCATCTGCTTTCCTTCTACATTCTTCTAGATGCTTCCAACCAAAAGATTTCCCAATGATCCCAAAAGCCCAGAGCCCAGACATGCGCGGCTCAGCCTTTTCCGTGACTCCGAGCGCCGCCGAGGTGGGGAACGGCCGTCATTGTGACCTCGAGAGGATGATGCACCTTACTATACATCAATGCACGTGTACTTCCGGACATGCAAGCATTGCAGGGCATTGCAGAGCGTGGCAGAGCGTGGCAGGGCATGGCAGAGCATGGCAGGGCATGTGACTCGTGGGATGGGCTTGTGATTTCTGTTTTTTCTCAGGGAGTTTCACCCTGCCGGCATCATGTGTGCTGTGGCGGTTGAGGAGAGTAACGTGCAAAAAGCTTCAGTGCTTACGAAGCCAAACCAGGCCGAGCCAGAGCAAAAACACATGCAGAGCCTCCAAGTCCAGGCGATGAGTTAGGAGACAAAGATGGGGTGTACACGACAGCTTTTCACACCGTCGTGATGCCTTCTTCTGAGTACTAACGGAATCTGGCTCCTTGAGTTCAGTGTTTCCTGTGAGATTCGTAAGGGGCAGGCGCCGCATGGAGCGGGACCTCCAGAAACTGCGACACAGAAATCACTAAAGCGACGCTCGCTGCAGCCAAAAAAGGCCGTCGTTCGTGCGGAAGCCTATCGAGACCGCAAAAACAATTGTTCAGATGAAATCCTAAGCCCTTTGCTGTGGCAAACTCTCGGCTCTCGCGCCTCCCGCGCCGCGAGTCTGAGCGCCTGCGAGGGGGCTCTCGTTTGCCCATGTCTCCCCCAGAGGGCCTTTTTGCCACAGCCATGAGAAGAAGACTCTGAAAGAGTCGAGGGAAAGAGCTACTTTCTAATTACAAGCCAAAACATCACGAGCCAGAAGTGCCCTCAGCAGCACAGGGTGAGCCTTCGCCGACGTGAGGGGGAGGAGGGCGGCATGACGACTGCTTGAGTTTCAGCTTGTTTCCAGCTGGTACATGTTAATACTGTCTGTGATCATCGGCGACCGCAAAACATTGCACATCTCCACAGCTGACACTTTACATGCACGAAGGACAACTCGCACTCATCGTGCGTGCAGGACAGCATGTTGAACGGCTATTCGCCGCAAGTTTCGTGGAAGGCCTATGAGCTATCAGCCGGCTTGAAGCCGAGCCCGGAGCCAAGACGGGAATCACGACCACGACAGTCAAAACATTGATCTCTGACAGCAGAGAGGCGCAAAGCACTGATAAGCACTGCATCGCCACACTGGGCTTTCATCTTAAACCCCATCTTTCCTTCGCCATTGAAACTCCAGGCGACTTGGCAAGATCAAGAGGCTAACTTTATGCTGCAAGAGCGTTGAGTAATGGCTTGCTTGCCTGCAGTGGCTAGGCGCAGTGGCGCAGCGGATTAGCGGATCATACCGTCGCAGCCCCTTGAGATGATCAGCGGTTCATGCGGTTCTTCAAAGCGGTGGCCCGTGAGGAGGAATCAAGCCTCTGCTGCCAACATCTGGCCCCAAATGACGAGCATTACTCAGCATTACTCTGTTTGCTATCTGCTATGTCACTATGTCAGTATATGTGAATCCTCCCCTTCGGCGTCAGCACCTAACTACTGTCCTCGCATCCTGGAGTAATTGGAACGTTCGGAGACCAGCATAATACCTTAGCTGCGCAAGCTGCTTGAAGTTCGACGCGTCTACTGAACATCACGGAAACCTCGCCTCTCACATCCTCAACAGGCCAAAAACAAATACGTGAAGAATCGTACATGTGAGCTCGCGGCTCAGCTTTGAAGCCTTTGAAGCTTCTTCCTTTGCAAGTGCAGCGGGTGTGTGCTGAAAGCGATACATAGAGTTGGGGCCCCCACTCTCCCAGGCTGGCTTCCAGTGTGAGGCCCAGCTCCTACAAACGATGAACCCGGACCATAGACCCACACGTACCTTTCTTAAGCATCGCGTCATCGTCACATATCGTCACGCAACACACCGTTTTAATGTGGCAGAAAGGGTTGTGGAAAGCCCCTCCCCATGCAGCATGCAATAGCATGCACATTCCACTCGTGCTCTGGTACGTCCTTGGCCAAGCCTATGGCCTTCTCAAGTTCCTCTGCGGAGGTGGCCATACGGAGGGATGTCTGAGCCGCGGCAAGGACTTCACGGATCTTCTCAGGCTGTCTCAAGAACCCATATGCCATAAGGGTGCCACGCGTGTCTGCTGCTCTTGCTCTTCCCTTTTCTGGCGGGCCTTTGCCTCCACCGTCTCCTGCGGCCAGTGGCAAGGGACCGTTGATCCTTGACAAATGAGCTGCGAGCCTCCACACGCGGAGGCCTTGGTGGCAGGTCCTCCGCCCAGGGCCTGGTGCCTCGAATTCGAGAAATCCCATAGAATGCCGGCCGAAACTACTTAAGCTCTCCAGTGCTCTCCATCTACTCCCTCATGGGGCCTTCGTGAACAGTGCATGAAATGTTGTATGCCAACCACTTGTTTGGCGACAGGGTCATATGGCCGAACGTACATTGAAGGTTCATTGCTAGCTCACAGCCGCAGCCAGCTACGACTGCAACGCAATGCGACAGCCCGTCCCATCAACGACGATTGCTGGTCTTTCGCTCCGTCTGCCCCTGGCCTCGTCCCCCACGGCCTGGCAACGAACAGAGGGGACTGAAGGGGCCTCAATTGCCAATCCCGTGTCTGGTGCAAAAAGAGCCGAGACCCTCAAACTCGGCAGCAAAGCGACGCTCGGGCTTGTCGAACTTTTCGTAGCCTGGCATCGCGATGAATCACGAGCACAAATCAAAGCATGGACTGCTGCAAAGCTACGGCTGAGCACAGCTCGGGCCTTTGTAAAAGCCTTTGCCCATGCCGTAGCCATTCTTGCCAACGCTGCCCTTCTCATCTCCTGCGCTCTGCAGAGCATCAAGGGAGATACTCGTACCGCTGCTGTGCAATCCTGTTCATTCAGGGAACAAACTCTTCACTGACCCCGTCCTTTATAGCCGCCCTTGCCTCAGCAGCCGGGTGATGCTACGGTGGTGCCGTGTGTGCTTTCCCTCGCACGCAACCACAACCACAAAACCACATCGCATCATGCCCGCTCCCTCTGCCGAGGTGCCTGTGCGGCCCTTTCCAAGCTCGGGGCGCCGGCCTCGCAAGCCCGATGGAACAAGAAGCTCTCGTCGAAAAATGTAAAAGTGCATGCTCAGATCCGGGCGTTGGCCACGGTCTAGAGGCCAGCTGAGCACAGATGAGCACACAGAGCTGCTCAACTACCTTGCTACCTCGTTCTATACTTTGATCATGTTGATCTGATACACGCGGGCACGCCGGTGAGTGCGAAGACAATGTGATGAGAAGGCGTTTGACTCAGCGCTATCCCAGGTAGAAAACATCGTCCAACTAGGGTCCAGGATGTCTGCATAGTGCGAAGCTCTCGTCGGACAACTCGACGCCCGCATCAAAAACTCAACTGGACACACTGGCTGTCTTTTGGGGATTGAGGGTGGTGCAGCGTTTCGGAGTGATTATTCGGTGGGCGTCAGAGGTTCCCCGAGGTTCCCAGAGGTTCCCACCCTCCCAACACCCGCCCCCCCCACCCCCCCCCCCCCACCCTTTTGTCAATGGAGAACCAAGATTTCGCTGACCAAAGAAATCGCAGAACCCTGCCTCAGGGCCCCAAAAGACAACGCGAGCTAAACAGATTTTCCATCGGCGGCTGGTCACGACGAGACATTCCATCAAACAGAGCGTAGAACTACTCAGCTGCACAACTTGTCACATGGGTTGTCTGTTCGGAGGGAACAAACTTGGACAACACGATGACACCAGTGCCATCACTATGCTGACGTGCGGGAGGATAAATAAAATCCCCATTATTCATCATCGGACCTCTACTGCTAACTTAGATAGAAACGAAGCGCTAGCTTTCGCGACCTGAGGCAGCCACCCGTTGTCTCGCGGCTTTCTTAGCTTGTCATCGCTGTGACCATGATTCTGGCCATAGCCCCTGAAGTCCTTGTAAGTTGATCGGGGCTTCAATCCGGTTTGGCAAATGCTGGCAAGAAGTTCGCAACTTGCACTTTATGCCAGGGATTTTGTACAGCTCTGCATAAGAAGCCCACGTTCAATGAATGCTTGTGAAGTTGATGTGTGGGCAGAACTTGTTCGCCATTGGAGGAACACCAGGCTTGAATTCGCTGTCTGACAGTCCTGGGCGTAAGTGTCCGGGACCTTCTCTGAGCCGCCGCGCCTACATGTTCATGATCTAGCGTACCGCAGCGGAACTTGCCGTGCCATACGTACCGCGTTTCTACTCAAGCTGAAACATGTCTAGACGCAGATATACGCAGATCCTATAGTTCAGGTCACGTGCCCTCACTATCACTGAGTCCTTCGTCTGTCACGCCCACCGCGGCTGCGGCCTCTGTCCACACGACGCACTAGACCAGCTGCTGCACGTGCTGAATGCTTCGTTGCTTGGAGTCTCCGAGGTGCCCAGAAAGAACAGAAAGAACGATCCCAGTATCAAAGGCTCCAAATACGTGAGATTCGGGCGATTCGAGGGCTGTTGCATCTGCGTCCACAGCTCACACTCTGAGTGCGCCACGGTCTGACTCTGCCTTGGCGAGTTTTCGTTGCTGACAACTCGCACTGTCAAGTCTGTCAAGTGTAAGACAAGTTGTCCTTGGCTTCCCACTGGTGGCAGAGGCTTCACTGGTGGCCACCTTATGTTGGCCCAACGCGGGGTGGCAGAGCACGCGGCGATGAAGGATTCGCAGAAACTGGGGTTTGGATCTCACCCAATACAGGAGGAGCAGATGGCACTATGTCCATGATAAAGAAGGGGAATAAGGGGAAAGCCTTGAATTTGGGAGATCTATTTATTAGGCCGTGTGCCAAAACCCCCGGTTGCCGCGGACCGCGCGCGAAACCATCTGTTACAGACCTGTGTAACGCCCGTCTTGATACAGACCTCTGTCGCGCGTATGCACGACTGGTAGCCAAAAGGGGAAACAAGACAACAAGAAGCAGGTCTGTCGCAAAACCCCGAGCACTGATACATACCCTATATAACGGGGTATGTCGCGTGTGTGGGCCACGACCCTGTTACAAGCAATTAATATTGGCACACAGCCCTATCAGAATCTAACCATGACAAACGAGACCTTGTGTCGGGCGCTTCTTGGGGCCCGGACTGAACAGCGGGCTCGGCCGCTTTGTCTTCCTGCGCTCCAAAGTGCAGAAACAACTGTGTGGGAAACATCTCGTTTTCTGTCAAGGGGCCTTCAAAGCTTGAAGGAGGGCCTGCGGTCATCCGTCGAAACAAACACGGGTTCTTTCTCTCTCTCAAAGGGATCTTTTACGCCGTGCGGTGCGCAGCCCCCACCCCCGATCTTCCAGCAGCATCCATCAACCTCCAGCAACTCGCGCACGCATTTATGGAAGCCGTCTCTTCTTCCTCTTCTTCCTTCCTTAGGGGTGTTTGGGGACCCAATACCATCGAATGATCTTGGAGTCAAAAGCTGTGGGCCACCGTGCGCGGGCAAGTCGACGGTGTGAAAGTTTCGCAGTCACCTAGCTGGAGTCAAGGCTGAACCACTGCTAAACGGCACAAAACTCACATTTCTCGTGTCTGCGTCCCCCCATTATTCCCATCACTGCTGGTATGTTGCAATATGCTGCATCACCCGGACCTACTCTTGAATGTTGCAATATGCTGCATCACCCGTGCCTACTCTTGAGGGTGCGCACTGCCCAGAACATGAAGAGGTGACAGGTTCACTGTCGGAGGGTATCCCCAGATCGATTAGCTAGGTAATGCTAGCTGCTAGATCTACGGCTCCTCGCATTTCCCGCGGTACAGAAGGCAAGCAAACGGCATATTGCTGCTGTGAAGTTCGGCGTTGCCGGGTCCTCATTCACCAGTCCCAGCATGCCTGGCCTTCCATTGCAGTCAGGGGGGAGGTATCAGTGGATGAAACGGAATGGCACATGCAACAAACATCCTGGAGACAATGCTTTGACCGAGCCCTGCGACCTCTTCAAGGCGGCTTCCTTGACACGCTTCTCCTGGGCATGTATTTTCTGAAATTGATCAGCCCTCAAATTTGCCCTTTCAAGGATGCCCCATGATACCCTGTGTTTTAGGCACTTCGGACCAGCTTCAAGCGTCCAGATCTTTTCTCGCTCGTGCTTTCTGTCAGAGGCCTGATCAAGGGGCCTGAGGCAAAATTCACAACGGACCTCTCTCCTCCTCGTCGGCGCCAGGATCTGGCAGGTCTGCAAGTGCATCTTTCTCCGGCCTGGGAAGCGGCGAGATCGCATGGCACTCCTTGCAGTGCTCTGAATTTATGGAGCGGATCATTCCTCGCGTTGCAGCCAAGTAGCAGTTGCCAGAAGAAGGACATCCCTCACGGCGCAATACCACGGCGCAATGTGCGCAAGGACTGTTGTGCCCAGGCACAGGCCCAGGCGGCCCACAAGGCCACACCCGATGCCCACGATATCACTGCTCTCGACCTCGACCTGCAGGACCCCGAGGTCCACAGAGAGGTCCACAGAGGTGCCGCCTGCACTTAGCCGCTCTACGATCATGTTATATCATGTTCAATTTTGATGGATTTTGGGACAGTCGGAATGGTTGGGAGCAGGGCAAGGCAAGCCTCTTGCAAGATCCTTTGCAAGCTCTTGCAAGCTTCAAACTCATGGAGAACCTAAGGGCTTGCGTACGACGCACGCGCACGGATGTGTACATAGTTATATAGTGTGCCAAACCATCGAATTGCCCTGCCTGACGGGAAGACAATACGGTCAAACGGCCAGCAAATTCGAGCCAGGCAAACCGAATCAACGCAGCAAGGTCGGCTCAATGCTAACGGCCCATAGCTTACGAGCATGTCATCTGGCCAAGATGGCTCAAATGCATCAGCCTTGTACAGACTTGCTGCATGAGTCATGGTGCTGCAGTTTTCCATCGCATCAAACTTTGTCTGGAGAAAGAATCTAGGACCTTAGGCCCTGCAGCTGTCTTGCTAAAACACGCACACACGCACATACACCAATACCATCAATATCAGGCAAGATCAACAGTCTAAATCCTCTCTACTGTAATGTGGCCTTGCTCTACACAGCAGTCTTGTTGACTTTTTTTAGCTGATGCCTCTGAGCCCAGACGATCAGGATCGTCTGCCTCGAGTCCTCGAGACAGAGCATAAAGAGCAAGGGAGCGTCACGATGCGCTTCGCCAGAAACCACCAGACACAACCAACAGAGACGACCACACACGTCCCCACATCGGCACCTGGCGCCAGCGCGCGCACGCGGGCCACCTGCCAAGACTTCGGACCAAAGCCCATCACCCCCTCATCGTCCCCCTCTGCCTGCATGACTCCTCAACATCCCCCAACCAGATGACCATGCATTGGTAACATTGCATGGAGAACAGCCACAGCGGCTTGTGCGAGAGGTCACACAAACATGGAGGCTCACTTTGAAACCTCTGTTCTCCCTACTCCTGCCATCTACCGGTTCCTTGCACACGTACCTCTAACATGGCACAGTTTCAACCCACTCGACGAACATTCCAACCAGACAACCAGTCAGCACAGTAAGCCTCTGATGGGTCTGGCGCGCTTCTTTCGTGCCTCTGCAAGACAAGACTACAAAGGTCGCTCCGGCAGACAAGCAGCCCGTTGGGGCTTTATTTCATCCAGCGTCTGTCAGATTTGTCGTGAAGGCTCTGGCATCAGGCACAAGATGGTGCGATTTAAAATGACAAAATGCATTGTGTTTTATCCTAGTTGTATTCTTCAGATTCCTCGATTTTTTCCAACCATCTCCGCGGCTCCGGGTCCTCCGCCAAAGGACCCCAAGAACGTAAGCCTTTGAAAGTTGTACCAGCGCGAAGCAGAAGGCGGGCGATGGCTTCTCACGCTTTACAGATCTAGCATCGCACATCACGGAGTTCCTTGGGCACTCCCACGCATTTGTAATCGAGGCATGCGGGCCACTTGGATCCGGGGCCCTGAGAAGCATTCGGCTGTGATCGACGGTTTCTTGTCTGTCCTTCGAGTGGTGCGTGGAAAACCTACGGCAACAATCCATAAGTCACAAGTTGGACCGACACGCGCTGCTGATTATTAGTCCGCAAAGAGATTTCATAGCCCAAGGGTTTAGGGCTTCAAGTGAGCCACCTCAGACCATGGGGTCTCTTCTCTGAAGAAAGCAATAGAAAGTAAGCGTAATCACATGGTCCTCTAACATAAACCCTTTAATTGGGGAACCCTTATATGCCCCATATATACCCTATAAATCTATAAACACCCAAGGGCTCGTACGTCACAACCCTGCAAAGAAGGTTTTAAAACAAAAATGTACTAAGGGACCGTGTTCCTTAGATCGAAACCCCGCAAGCTCGAAACTCTGCACACAGCATCCCAGATCATAAGCCATGGGCAAGAGCGGTGTGCTCATTGGAGTTTAGGGTTTGGAGCTGCTGCTGCTGCTGCTGCTGCTGCTGCTGCTGCTGCTGCTGCTGCTGCTGCTGCTGCTGCTGCTGCTGCTGCTGCTGCTGCTGCTGCTGCTGCTGCTGCTGCTGCTGCTGCTGCTGCTGCTGCTGCTGCTGCTGCTGCTGCTGCTGCTGCTGCTGCTGGTGCTGCTGCTGCTGCTGCTGCTGCTGCTGCTGCTGCTGCTGCTGCTGCTGCTGCTGCTGCTGCTGCTGCTGCTGCTGCTGCTGCTTGATAGTTCAAAGGTGAGACTGCCCAATAGTAACAAAGCATTTCCCACGCACAGCTGCATGTCATCCAGTAAGATCTCGACGGGCTTCTTCTCCTCTGCGCAGAGGGCGATTGCCAAGCCACACTCGTCGCGAAGCACGCGCGCGAGCCTTCCGGGTGAGTTCACAAACGACATTCAACTTTCGTGTCTGCTAATTCGCTGGGTTGGTCAAGGAAGAAAGTCGGGTGTTGACATGCTTGCATTTTTAGTTTACATGTGCAGTTGCGGTTTTTTGGCGGAAGGGGCCACTGTGCATGCTTCTGTTGAGAGATGTCGCAGCTATCGTGCCGTTGATGTTCCAGTGAGGCATGAGATCTCTTCTGGCGAAGCGGTCTGTCGGTCGACTCACCCCACCTTGGTCTCTCTCCCTGTCTCCCTCTCTCCCTCTCCCTGTCCCTCTCTTTCTTTCTTTCTTTCTTTCTTTCTTTCTAGGGGCTTGGGGTCGGCGCCCCGGGCATCTTTGCCCGCCCCTGTTTCGGGGTGGTTGCTGGTGGTGTCCGGTGCCCGGGTGTACTCTGCCGACTGTTATGCCCCCCTGGATCCCGTTTATACCCTATCACCCCACTACCCCGTTACCCCATCACTCTGCCCCACTATGTCGGCAGTGTGGTCCCCCGGCTCCCGACCTGACGTAAGACCTGCAGTCAATGGCCCCCTTATGTCACTCCAAACTCCAACCTCGAAGCACTACAACCTGGCCCAAACCTGAACTGACAATCCTGAAAGCCCCCCCTCCCCCGCTACAAAGCCCCGGGGTTCTTCCTTGACCTGTCCCTCTCTCTCCCTCTCTCTCTCTGTCTCTCTCTCTCTCTCTCTTTGTCTCTCTCTCTCTCCCTTCCTCCCTCTCTCTCTCTGTCGCTCTCTCTCTCTCTCTCTTTCTCTCTCTCTCTCTCTCTCTCTCTCTCTCTCTCTCTCTCTCTCTCTCTCTCTCTCTCTCTCTCTCTCTCTCGGGGCCAGAGGGCAAGCCCCCGCGCCCAGGCGCCCCGATCCCGCTCCTGCTGACTGCCTATCACGCCAACCGCCGTTCGCACAGGTTGCACATCTCGGCTTGGGCTCTTAGCGAGCAGAAGGCCCGTCTTGCCACAGTGCTGGGATTTGGTGCCATAGAGCTTGGCCAGGCTTTGTTTTTTTGCTCGTGTGGTTCCTTCTATTTTTGTTGCATCTCTGTCGCAACGATTTGGCAAAGGCTTTGGCTGTCACTCATGTCCTATGTATGCAGCAACTCCGAAGAAGAGTCAATGCTGATTGGCTCTCTTTTAAGCCCACTGCGGAGAAGGGGAGCACATTCTTTGAACACTCCCGATCTGCATGTGTGAGAATGTGAGATGGTGAGAGCCATTGAGAGCCCGTGCAGCACTTCAAGCATTACAACGACACGCTGAGACAAACTTGCCTGTAGCTTGTCTTCTGCAATGCCCTAAATCTGCCCCTGGTAAGGGTTCAACGAAATGTCCTGTACAAGCTGCTTCGAGGAGGTTCCCTCGTCGTCTGAATCATGGTGACGGTATGTCAGCTGTCTTCTCTTTCCAAAGGTACGCCCTCGACAATCCTCAAGCAAAGCTTTAATCTCTCACTGACCATGAAGGATGTGCAACCTGCTCTCTTCAGATAACTCTCTGCACTCATCGCGCTGTACTTTCCCGGTCTCTGAGATCTCTTCTCTAGTGGTCCTTCCAGACGAGATCGGCTCCGTGGGACAGCAATTCCTTGATAGCCCAGTACAGACTTTTAGAACTCGACGTTGCTCGATTCAAAAGTGCACACTCACTAGCCGCACTAGCCACGACACCGAAAGCTTCTGGTCCACCGGAATGGGTGCCCAAAAGTCTGGCTTCCTCAAAAGGAGCGGGGAGCAGCAAAGCTTCACACCCGCGCCAACCATTCCATTGTCTGGGGCCATGGCAGCTGGCCCAGCTTCACCTTAGCCTGGGCACGATGAACTTGCGTGTCGCGAAAGAGCTACCGCCGAAGCCCAGGTGGGTTGCCTCCACCGGAGGGGGGAAACCGTGGCGGTACAGCATCTTGAGAACTGCCTCTCTCAGTGCTCCGGCCATGCTTGCAAAATCTTGCAAAACCACAACATGCGCGCGTGCTGCTCACATCGGCAGTGCAGAACCCTTAACAGCCTCGACATATCTCGACATCAACTCCACAGCAGGACTAGCTGAATGCCAAACTGAGCACAGGGGCCTTCTGGTGTTCCCGGTCCTGGAAGTGCTGCTTGCAAGGCATTTGAAGGCATTTGAGATACCATGGAGTTCTTGATGGTTCTTGCATGTTCTTGTCATGTCTGTTCACGTGGAAAAACATCTGAAGCACTTCGATCTGTTGCCAAAACAAGTTTCACATTCTCTCTCACGAAAGACGTCATTGGGTCATGCCATGCCAGAGCCTGATCGCCATATCTTGCCCAGCTCGCAAGCGATCGGCCCGACTCGTCGCGGATGTTGACGTCACACTGTCAGTCAACAAGACACAACCTAAGTCAACCTAAACAAAGTGTGGCATCGCTTCTTTTACCTTGCATCTAGCCGCTTTAGCCACAGCATTCACGAGAGAATGATTGAAGGCTTCGTCTCTTCACCGACTTGAGATGTACCACTCAGCAAACGCAGGTGCTGGGCCCGAGCCCTTCATCCCAGCACAAAGCCTCCCTGGATACGCAAACCCCTTGGGAACGAACAGGGGACCCCTGATCGTTTCAGCATGCTTCAGCCAACATGTTCGGCTCCAATTTCGACACTACTGTTGCCGAGCGGTAGACTGAGAATGACTGAGACAGACTCGGAAACGCAGCATGATCGAACAGCGCCTGCGCGTGTATGAGCGTCCGCATGACCTCAGATTCAGCCCAACAGGCACCGTATTCCTGCACTCCCGTATCCCGTAGACACTTTCTCCACATCTCACAGAAGCTCAGCAAGCGACATCAAAATCACAGTAGAAAGCAGCAAAGAAGATTGGTGGCCAACCTAGCCCAGCTGCTCCAAATGCGGCCGGCACACAAGCTTGTTCAGGCTTGTACTACCAACCCTGCACAAGCACACAGGGTGCATCAAACACAGACCCTAGAGAACTTGGAACATAAAGAAAGCAGGGTTTTTTGCGAGACAATGGGCGCCAAACACTTGCGACCCAGGCCGATCCCAACCCCCGAATCTCAAACCCCGTCTAAGCAGCCTACTTCTTCCAAAGCAACCGCGAAAACCGTCACCCCACTCGGGGTGAATATTTTGCACGTGCACCACCGCATGCTCCGAACCCCCATCACGACAGGCCCAAACACAGTGGCACACACCCTTCCTCTAAGTGCGAGCACCAGAGCTTTGTGGAGACTCTTGTGCTTCTTCCTCAACGGTTTACTGCTTTGCTGCGAAAAACTAATTGGCTCTGGTGAGGGGTGCGGTGTTGGGATACGTGGGCGCTCTCGAGAGATTCTCCAAGGGCTGGCACTTGGGGGATTCTATGCGGGATTTCTCCAGCAGTCGCACCACAATGCTCAGCTATGCTCCACTGATTCTTAGCGGACTGCAGGATTCGCTAGTAGGCACTCCGGGGATGCTCCGCAGAATTCTCGAAGGCACTCCATGAGTTCTCTGTGGCGTTCCCTGCAGGCTTCTTCTGAGTAGGCAGGGACCCTGTAGTATGTGGATGTCTTCGGGAATCTGGGAGCAAGAGGCTCGGGCCAGGTGACCCGAGCGAGAGCGAGGAGTGAGGAGACCCTGGCGAGAAAAGCTGAGTTCACATCCAACTCCACACCGAAGGTGGTGAAAAACAAAAACTACAGCAACATGCTTTGACGAAACTCGTCCCCGCACCCTGTCGCTTGGTCCCAACACAGGGGGGAATTCTGGTTTCATTTGGTTACATGTGGTTCCATGTGGTACCAAATGTGTTACCTTTGGTCACATCTGGTGCCTGTGGTTACCTTGGTTCAGGCCGGGCCTCCGGGACCGATCGCGTTCAAGTCCGCGGAATTCTCCAGCAAAGCCTTCGCGGCTCTGGAGGAAGTACCGGCATTGGCATGGCGTGGCATAACCAATACCGTACACAGAATAACTTGCTGGCCACGGACCGCTCTTGGACATCCCCAATACATGCGTCTATCTTGGTACTATGATTGCAAGCACCCTTTACAAAGCTACGGGCCATACTGTGACAATGCAGCTGGCAGCTGTGGCACACAGAAAGGACCCGCAACAAATGCTATCCCCGAGCATCCCTGCCCGCGCAACTGCTGTAGCCTCCTGCAAGGCAAAGCACGTGCAACAAGCTGCCGTCACAAACTCGCGCGCGCAAAGGGGGCCCACTGTTGTCGGTAGATATAGATGATATAGTAAATCAAGCTACGACGGCACATTAAGACATGCGACAACACGGAGTATGCATCGATGATAAATTGTCAGAGCGTCATTCACCCTTAGTCTTGTTACTGTTGGATGAACAAGGGGTGCAGTCGAATCTCAGAGTTGCAAAACTGAGACACCACTCTTGTTGAATAAGACGTACTCACATCCTCAAGGAGAACGAAAATAGCACATGTTTGCATGCTGACTTGGTTGCTTTGCTTGTTTGCCGGCTCCTTCCGCCCATGACGATGTACACTGTGCACTTCATCGCGAGCTGGCGACAACGGCAGTGGAGAGCCAGAGAGGCGTGTCACTCATGTGAGGGCGTGCGGGCCAGTAGTTCTAAGGTCCTACCGCAAACAAGTGTCACATTCTGATCCCAGAATCGCCCAAATGCACCAGCTCAAGCCCCCCACCCCTCCTGTGTCTGGACATCCATGGGTGATGGACCCTCTGCGGTCTTTCTATGAACATCTCATGCACACTTCTGTGGATCTTGCATGAACCAGCATGAACTCCTTATCAATCACCCCATCCCGCTTCCGCTCTTCTTCTCAAGCCCCTTTCCACCCCCCCTTCCTGCGCATGCTCACATGGGCCTCAAATGGCCTCAATGGACCTCCTGTGTATGCTGGAAGACCTTCTGGGATCTGGTCAGGCAGAAGCGGGTCGCGAAGCGTTAAAGTTCAACAGACTGAGAGAGCAGCTGCACAAGCCTGCTTGTCCTGGAGGTACAAAGACAAGAGCTGAAAAGCAGGTGGAACTGAGGCAGCTACTATCTGCAATGCAGCACCTCGGACTGACGCACCGCACTTTGACGACACAGCCTTTGTGAAAACTCAAGCGGTTACGTGGCTACCCGGATCATCACGCATCCGACAATGCCAGAACAGCTTCGCAAGCTGGAAATTAGCACCCAATTTGTGACGGTCCAGTGATGGTGCAACCCAGTGCTCACCATGAGCACAAGTAAACTTGAAGAAACACACCAGCACAAACACACTCCACATGTCAGCTGCTGCACGATGCGTATGAGAGCTTGATGCTGCGCGACACTGTACAATCCGTTGCCATCTTGTGCTTGCAAAATTGGGGCATCACCTTGTCAATGCAGGCATGTGGCAGCATCAAAGGACTCATCCCAAGCTCGTCACGGATGTTGGCTGAAATGCCTGAACGGTTTTGAAGTGCGTGCTAGATGCCTGCAGTTCAGACATGGTTCAGCAATTGCAGTGCACGTGGCCCTCTGACTTCTTGAACCCACAAGATTTTTTGGTCATCGATCACGGGTCCTAGACGGGCATCCAGCTGCTGATCGCGAGCTCGTTGATAGCATGTTCCAGGAACTAACTAGGTCGCAGTGTTTGCAAGCAGGGGCTGCCGAGACAACGTTGGTCACTAGCATGGTCCCATGCTTTCCGTCGGATGGCTGAGGCAGATTCAAAGACTTGCCTGCGTTTTCTGGACACCCTGAGAAATGTCGAACGCAGAGCGACAGTGTTAATTGCTAGTACATGTCCTCTACATACTGGCAAAACTCCGCCAGGCCATGTGACTTATTCCGAATTCGGCCGGAACTTCATCTGCACATAAGACTTGCTGGCTGGCGCATGATCAAGCTGCATATGGAGTGACATGATATGTTCATGAAGTGACGGGGAAGATAACTATGGCCATCCATGGCCGCAAATCCCAGCGAAGCGAAGCAGTGCTGAGGCCCACGCCCATCTCCAGAAGATTTTCAACCTGAACTCCCCGTCGGGACCGATGCAAAGGGACACAAAACCACACGAACGAAGCTCGAAACCCTCCCGGCTGGGAACTTCGTTCCTATGAAATTGGTTTGAGGTGTGGCGGCCACATGGAAAAGCACTGTCGCAGGGGAAACACGCTCACACGGTGGTGGGTTTGCGGTTGGAGTTGACTCTGCTTCCATCTGCTTCCATCAGCGGGTGGGCTCGCTGTGCCTCCACGCGAGTTGCTTCGCGAGGGGCTCGGTCGAGCTTGTAAGATGTAAGTTGTAGCCTCTGCACTTTTCTGATGCTTCAGTGCGTCTTGTTGCTGATCTTGCTTAACGCTCTACTGGCAAGGGTTGGCCCTGCATGTGCGTTTCAAACTGTCGACACAACGCATTCTAAATGTTCGAGTTGCTGGCCGCAAGCCGGCAGTTGCGCTCTCTCTCTGTCTCTCTGTCTCTCTCTCTCTCTTTCTTTCTTTCTTTCTTTCTTTCTTTCTTTCTTTCTTTATTTCTGCGCACTTGACCCCCCCGTATTGGGGAGGACCGCCCGAAGGCGTGCGTTACAGAGTGCAGCGGGTTGATCGGTGTCTTGGGGCTCCGGGACAACGTGAGTACTACAGCTAGCAACACACAGCTGGAGAAGGTGATCAGAAGTAGATCCTCCCAGGCACCTTGACCTCGCAACTATTGTGACTGAAAACGCCCTCATTGGGACAAATTGGATCGATAGGTGGATCCCGCCCACTAATTAGGACCTTACCCCTCCAAGATTGGTTCCCATGTCTCAGATTCGGTGACCAGATACCATGAAACAAAGGGCTCCCCTTTTCCCAACAAACAAAAGCCCCAACTCCAACGACCAACACCCAGGGACCCACGAGGGAAAAGGGGAGTGGTGAGGACTTCCGAGGATTTACGTTGTCGTGCGTAGAGGCTTCGCTCATTCGAATGAGTGCTAAGTCCGGAAAAGAGTTGCTATTTGGGCTGTACGTACGGAAAGCAGAAGCTCTGTGGTGGACCTATCCCATCTCTAACAACCGACCTCAAGTCAGGCAAGCAACAACCATCTCTCTCTCTCTCTCTCTCTCTCTCTCTTGTGGTGTTTTTGTTTGTCTCTCTCCCGTCTCCCTCGCCCTCGCCCATGCCCTCGCCCTCACCCTCACCCTCTCTCTCAGACACACACACACACACACACACACACACACACACACACACCCACACACCCACCCACCCACCCACCCACCCACCCACCCACGCACGCACGCACGCACGCACGCACGCACGCGCGCGCGCGCACGCACGCACCCACGCACGCACGCACGCACGCGCACGCAACCCGCCCGCGCGCCCGCGCCCGCGCACGCGCACGCGCGCACGCGCACGCGCACGCGCACGCGCACACGCACACGCACCGCACGCGCACGCGCACGCGCGCCCACACACACACACACACCACACACAACACACACACACACACACACACACACACACACACACACACACACACACACACACACACACACCACACACACACACACACACACACACACACACACACACACACACACACACACACCACACACACACACACACACACACACTCACACGCACACTCACACGCACACACGCACACGCACACGCACACGCGCACGCGCACCCGCACACGCGCACGCGCACGCCACGCGCACGCGCACGCGCACACGCGCACGCGCACCCGCACGCGCACCACGCGCACACACACGCGCACACACGCACACACGCGCACGCACACGCGCACACGCACACACCGCGCACACGCGCCCACACGCACACGCGCCCACACGCACACCACACACGCACAACACACCGCACACACGCACACACGCACACACGCACACACGCACACACGCACGCACACACGCGCGCGCGCACGCGCGCGCGCCACGCACGCGCACGCGCACACGCACACACGCACACGCGCACACGCACGCGCGCGCACGCGCGCACGCGCGCGCACGCGCACGCACGCGCACGCGCACACATTTCTTTCTTTTTTCATCTCTTACACTCTCACGCCCTCACCTCACCCTCACTCTCAATTCTCACTTCTCCCCGTGAGATTTGAAGCGAAAGCGTGTGCACGCCTCCTGGACCTGGGCCTTCCGTGCTGCCTCGAGCAGCCGCCTGAGCAACAGACAAGCCATCGGCAAAACCAGAACGAGAAACGAAACAAAGGCGACAAGAAAGCGACGTGAGCAAAGAACGGAAGAGAGTGCAGTGCTTCCAAAGCCAGCTTGGGCCTTTTGTGGACTTCGTGCAAATCTCCCAGCTCATCTCAGCGCAACCACATGATGCTCACAGCAATTCTGAAACATGACTTGTGAGTGCAAACAACTGACGCTCAGACTGGCTCGATTCTGACACGAGCTGCTCTGCGTCTACTCCGAACTGGCCCTTGCCCTGCTCGTTCGGTTCTTCTGCTTGCGCTGGCGGGTCTGGGACTGGGTTGCCGAGGATGCGCCGGATGTGCTCAGCCAGGGGCTCCGCAACAGCAGGCTTGGACCCCGCGCCTTCCAGTCGCTTCGTCCACTCAGGCTCCATGGCATCGAGCACCTGCATCGTGGGACTTCAAGCATCGCTTCACAAACTCCATCTGCTCCTCCATCTCCTCCGGCGTGAAGGTCGGCTGGCCGTCCGGGCCTCTCTGCGTGCCCTTCTCGACAGCGCCATTCTCGATCTCGGCAAGCACCTGCTTGTAGGATGTTCCGGCCGCATTTGCCGAAGAGGTCCTGCAGATCCGCTGAATTAGGCGAACTCCCTGACGAACATTCACGTTCGCGAAGGCAAAGGAAGGGTGATCTTCGTTGTCAACTCCCACGCCGCTGCCCAGACGCTCCACAACCTGAACCAGGGCCCGCGCTTCATCAAGTTGAGCGTGGAGCCTGCCTCCGGCGAGAGTGCGGACGTTGACCAAGTGCGTAGCAAGACCCGCAGGTGCTGCTTATCATAGTAGGTGTCGACGGCGTACTGGATCTCCAGAGAGCCATGTTGAGGTTCCCAAAGAGCTGGACGGTGTGCCACTTTTCGAAGTTGCTGACGGTTTTGCCGTGCCCGCCGTTGAAATGCAGGCCGTAGTAGGCCCATGAGCCTCGCCGATGGTACCACGGCAGGGCGCTGCAGAGAAGGGTTGTCTTGCCCTCCTTGTTGCGGCCCTGCAAGATAAGGGCTTTCCCTTCATGCAAGGCACGGTAGAACACCCACCAGAGGCCCTGCTTCCTTGAGGAGTCGATCGTAAAGTCGAACGACGGGCCTCACATTGTGGCATTGCCTCACCGCTGCGGCAGCCAGGCCCACGACCCCTAGACCAAGCAACGCCTTGATGTCCCCAGCAGTGCCCAGACCAGCTCTGATCACCCCGAGAAGATCTTGTGCAGTCTGCAACGGGGACTTGTCATCGGACGGGCCCATGGCGTCTCAAGATGCGGAGAACTGAGGCTATGTCGTGGCATGTGGCGTGTGCTTTCAGGTACTGTATCTGCGTCGAAGCCTTGCATTGCCGGACTTGTTTACAACATGTTCGCAAAGCATGGAAAGGCAGTCCTAGCTGACATGGCTGCGCGACAGAACACTTGTTTTTGTTTAATCTGTAAGAAAGACCGAGCTGAGTGGATAGCAGAGCACAGTGGGCCAAGTAGTCAAGTAAACCCGTTATGGTCCCAACAGCTGATCGCCCGACTGCTTTAATTCCAGCCTTCAAGTAAACATGAGGCACTTCAAAATGACATGAGAACTGGTGAACGCCACGTGTTTAAACGCAGACTCTCAAGGCTGAGAAGCACAGCCCCCAGACGCATGCGATGCCAAGAAATTTACGACAGCCGGAGGCGAAAGTGCTGCTCCGGAAGTGCACAAAGTTTAGGCCATTTCTGGGTTCATGGCGCAACTTGATGTCGGTAGTCATTGCCTTCAAGCAGTTGCTCAGAGAGACTGTCTGCAGCGTACTGCCGGCAGAAGCTTGTCACCATAGCTCCAAGCAACCACGTCTGAGCAATCCTTAACAGCTTCGACATGCTTGGACTCCAACCAAACAGATGCCCGGAGTCGCTCGGACCGTTTGGCGACATCACAGCATGGCATTGTGCAGAATTGTGCAACCTGGACAATGGCGTGACATGTCTGGAGCCCCGCGGTTCGCAGATGTTCGCGGTTGGCAGCTACGCTACGCATTTCGGTCATCTTCCGTTGCGATGCATGTTTGAATGTCTGTGTGAGAGAGAGCAATCAGCCTTGAGCCTGAAAGCAAACGGCACATGCTGGCTCTGAAATGTCTCGGAGCCTTTGTGAGGATCTCAATACACCTCAACTCCCCAACAAAGTCCAACATGATACACAGAAACACGCCTCAAACGGCCCTTCTGGAGGACTTCCAGGGCTGCCTTGGTTGTAACCGCCAAAATGCAAATTACCTCTGTCACATTCAGAACAGGATGGCCAGAACATCCTAAAACTGGCGGCGGCGGTGGCGGCAGCGACAATGGCAGCGGCAGCGGCAGCCGCAGCCGCAGCAGTAGCAGCAGCAGCAGCAGCAGCAGCAGCAGCAGCAGCAGCAGCAGCAGCAGCAGCAGTACGTATCAGTGCATCTTTGTCCGTCTGTGCTCTGCATCTGAAGCGGGCTGCGCGGGAGCGTGAAGCCAATACAAGATAGCTCAAGTCTCAGGTCGTCAGCAAAGGCCGGTGGCTGGTGCTTGGGGGTCCCTGATACAAAAAAAACTTTGCCTACCTTTCCACCCTGCTGCCTGGAGGAAGGCAAGCACTGTGTTGAACTACCTGCACCGGCCGAAGAACGCTTCGAGGCCCAAAGCTAAGTCCAAGACATCTTTCTCAGGGTCTCGGGGCAAGTCGCCAATCTTCTCCAAGTCCTGTCAGTCTGGACAAGAAGGGGACGACTTGTTCTGCAGCCATTGGACTTCACCGACATCAGGGACGTCGTGCGTGTGCAGAACACACAATCGCAGGCACTGGCTTTGAGCCTTCCATTCCTGAGCCTCCAATATGTCCTGCGAATATTCAGGCAGCTCAGGGAAACCAAGCAACAACCAGATAGCATGCCATCCGTCGTATGACGTGAGTCTGAAGATGTCCAAAGCATCCTCCAGCTTTCCACCGAGGACTTCCTCATCCTCTTCATCGCAGACTAAAATAGCGCGGCCTGAGAAGTGCACAAATGAATCGATATGAACCAATGCTGTCAACAGAAAAGTTCCAAACTGCACGAAATTGAAGTGGAAGTGCATCAATAACAAAACGACGTTTTCTGCAGCCATGACTGTAGCAAATCGGTATGGGTCGATATGGGACTGCCAGGACCGTGAAGCGCCTCTTCCCGAGCATCCGCAGCTCTTGGATTCTGCGGTGGGCATTCTTGATACTCTCTGCGGGCGGGATTCTCTGAGGGCGAGCACTCCACAGACATGCTCCATGGGCTTCTCTGGAGGTGGACACTCCAGAGATACTTGTGGGGTTTTTTGGGGGGTATGCGTTCCAAGGACACTGCGGGATTGCAGATTTTTGTCCTTCTCTGCGGGATTCTCTGCGGTTGGCACTTCAGGGGCGGAGGCCCGGGCGAGGAGTACAGGAGACTCGGAGGAGAGCATCTGAGTCGAAAGCTGACAACCCCACACCGAGGGTGGGGAACACGAGGCGTTTGAAAACTATGGTATTAACTACTTTGCAGCCATGGCATGCTTAGAGATACGTGTACTGACCATTACTGACCCCGTACACTGCCCTACCATCACCACGGCCAGTGAAGGCTGCCTTGCACTGACGTTCCATCTGAGAACCAGGCCATCAGCTGTGAGGGCCTTGCCACAGATCACCATGAAAACCAATATAGCCACAAGTGTTTCAAACAGAAGCCTGCCGAACACGCCTATAGCATCTGAGCAGCGCTAGCTTCCCCACGCAACGCTTCCCTGCGCAACCCGCCAAGGTAAATTCGGTGCCCTGGACTCCCAGACAAGCACAGCGATGGCACAGTTCTGTTCACTGGAACACGCCTGAAAACCTTCTAGGACAACTTCAGAATCCCCCAAACCCTCACCTGTCTACTTTCAGGATGCAGATCGAGGAAAGAATGATGTGACTGTGCGACATCATCACAAAGCCTGCACTTGTGTTTGGGACAGTGTTTGATCATGTTTGCTCTATGAGCTCTACGGTTTTCGCAGCCCTTGTGTACATGGGCAGTCTAAGCCGAGAACAGCAGACACTTGCGCGAGGCCCTGGATGAAGATCTTCTTCCCCAGGCGTTTCTGAGACAAGAAGGAGATGGAAATTGTGTCACGAAGCCACATGCTCTGAAACACTGACAGAATCGGGCATCCACGACGGACTTCTTTTGTGCCTTTCCCTACTCACTGAGAAGCACACAGCCGTGCCAGAGGCGACGACCCCAACGTGTATATCCTCAGAACGCAAGCATGAGCATGAGACTTGTGTGCGGACCTAGTCCGAGGACATGGATACACAGTCCAGAATCGCGGCTTGCCTGTTGCTGCCCCATCCCTGGCCAGGGCAAATGCTTTGAGCGGAATCACCTTGTCGACGTCCTTTTGCCACTGCCTGTCTCGACAACACTCTGGACTAGAGACCAAGCCACAGAACAGCAGCTTCTCGTACACATCACAAGACCATCTGACTCATGAACAAAATCATGGCTTTCACCAGCTCGCCAAGTGCTCTTGCTGCCTGAAGCACGGATTCACGGCATAGACCTGTGGCTTGTATCAACTGGCAGGCCGCGTTCTGTTCACGACATCACTTCCATGATCTTACCACAACAAAACCGGCCTCACATTGATTCTTGAAGTCATACTTCATGACCTCACTGACCTGGGTCACATTTGGTGGGCTCTCCTTTTGTGCATTGTTCCCGAAAGCATGGTGGAGGGCTTTTCAGCGGAGGTGGTCTTCGGGGAGAGCTTTCGTTTTCTGGATGTCGTGATGGATGTCGTTATGGATGATGCATGCATGGATGGCGTGATGGATTTCATGGATTCGCTCTTTCTTCCTCCTTAAACTAATATGATTTAAAGCACGAGGTAGGGTTGGCCAAAATTCGCGCTGGGAGGCGTTCGCATTTTCGTCGGCGAACGACAACCCTCTGCGTGTTCCGGCGTTGCCTGGCGCGTGGGAGGTTCTTCGTTATCGTTGATGCATGGATGGATGTCGCGATGGATGATGCATGGATGGATGGCTTGACGCGAGGTCTTGAAAATGCTTTCGGGACAACCGTTCTCCAGTTGTTTTCGCTCACGCGCGGGAAAACGCTGATTTCAAGCTGTTTCGGGGAGGGTTGAAGCTTTTGCAGGGAATGGAGGGGGGAGAGGGGGGGGGGTGGAAGGGAAGGGGTGGGGGAGGGGGGGGGGAGACAGTGGGGAGGGGGAGGGGAGGAGGGCAGAGTGAGGTTGGTTGTGGGCATTTGCACCCATCTTGACGACTCGTTTCTCCGTAGTGGCTTCCGGGTCAAGCGACTATCGAAAGCATTGGCCGGTGCAAACTAGTAACCTTCAATTTGTGAAGGTACCCAAACTCTCCAGAACACTAGCGGTGTTGCGGTTTTAACATCTCTGCGCAAGGCCAAAGCCATCAACCTAAACCCTGACCTTTCCAAACCCGTTCCCTCCCCTTAAAAAGACAGTGCAAGCCCACCCAAAGCCCTCAACCTAAACCCTGACCTCCCCAAACCCGTTCAACATTGCAGGAATTACTTTTATGGTTACAGGTTTCGTGGTTACAGCAATGCCTTGACACGTGCCTCCACACTCCGAAAGCACAAACTCCAAAAACCGCCCCAAAAAACACATAAACGTAACCCAGACATGACGACTGGAAAACGCTGAAAACACTGGCAGGCGTGGTAAGTTTGAACGAGCGCATTAGAGCCACTGAAAGTCCTACAATGAATGTCTTCCAAAAGCCCCTCTCAAGTTAAAATCACATTTCCTCGTGCAGACGGTCCACGGCCGCTAACAGCAGCGTGACCTTGTTTTCCTTTTTCCTTGGTTTTTTCCAACTAACCTCTGTGTCCTCAATGTTTGAGGTATTTTGGGGGGAGAATAGGGAGCGCTCTCCTTCATGATTTTGTAGGGAAGCTTCTGATTATTTCGCCAAATCTTGCCTTCTCTGGTTTGTTGGGAGGGAAAAGGGATGTATTCTCTATACTCTTTCTTCGAAACCATGTGTGGCATGATGTTCTTAAACGGAAGATTGCACGGCGAAAGCACACAGGGGGGCAAAGGTTTCGTTTCGAAAGGGGTCTGAGGATTTTGCCGCATGCTCGTATGACAAAGTGGGAAAGGATTACGAATCTATGTGCAGCAACTCCTTCTGGTGTCATGATGTTCCTGAAAAGCAAGATTGCACGGCTTTAGCGAGCGGAGGGGTTGGGCCATTTGGGGGCGGCGGGGGCGCAGCACCTCCCGCGCCCCATGTACAAACACAACGCTCGTGCGAGGGACTTAGAACGTGAGGCACAGAATGCTCGAATGATGGGTTTCCTCTTGTAGCATGGCGTTCGTACAAGAAAACTTGCACGCCTTGAAAAGGCGGTGGGATTGGGGGGGGGCGGCAGCGGCGCAGCCCCAGCTTAAGCTTACACAGATTTAATCAGATTTAACACGCAAACACAATGCTCGCATGAAGTGTTTGGGAAAAGGAGTCCCAGGGGTTATGCAGCAATGCTGTACGACGGGTTTGGAAGGATTTCTGGGTTTGTTGCAACAGTGGCTTGTCGGCATGTTCTGAAAGGTACGCTTGCACGAGGGTGTTGGTGGAGCTTAGCACCACAGCGCGCCCCATATGCCAACACAATGCTCGTGTTGGTTGTGAAGGAATTGTCTACAGGCATCTCTCCGAAAATGAACTGGGACTACTAGATGAACGAAGTGAGACATGAATTATATTGTTGCCGCGCTTTTGATAATACAAATATTGTGCGGGATACAAGAATACTATACTAAATGAACACCATTAATGCGCCGTTATAATAAATGTCTTTGTTAAGCACTCTTGCTCACTTCGCCTGGACAATACCGTCTTTCGTGCGTATGCGTTGCATTCGCTTGCAAAAACAATATTAGTGCTCTCTTCGCATTCTTATTACAGTATGAGTGTAATCGTGTGAATAAAGGGTAAATGAGTGAACAATGTGAACGAAATGCACGGCGGAAGTGAACACGCCAAAAGACCTGGCAGATCGAAATCCTTTCCAAACAATATTGTTACTACTGGTGTCGCATGAATTGTGGGGAAGCTTCCTATCTTTATGTGGGTCATGAAGGTACCATCAGTGGTGAACCTATGAAAAAGACCCAGCACAACCTCTCGAAAAGACCCGGAATCCATCCCACCTGTCAGTCTTGCCCATGAATCCCGTACCAATGAACTACATGACAGGCGAACTAGCCCCGGATCGACAGTACATTCACCTCTTTCACACTCATAATGTTAAGGTTGTAGACGCATGAATGTCCTCACATCCAACTTTCGAGGGAGCTCTTGCTTTTTTTTAAGGCCTTCCTCTGAAATGCAAGAGAAGATGGCGCCTTTTCCCAAGGGCCGTCTATTATGATGGTGCCATGAAGTCCGACTGTCATTCAACAATATCCGTTCTATCATAACATATCGTAACAATACCCCATATCGGCATTCTAAACTCCCGAGGGAGCGACGGGGCCAAGGACGACCCACTCCGTCAACCTGATTGGACTCTTCTCCTGCCCCCAAGTCTTCCACGCACGGCGCAAGCTCACCTCATCTGCTAACGCTGTCCATCCATGCACACCATTCCAGCCCACCTTGTCTGGAGCCAGATACCCAACATACTTGATGTCGTCTGGTGCCTCATGAAAACATTGGGGCCAGGGGGCGACGAATCGAATCTCGCCGAAACTCTCAGTACATGCATCACATTTGAACCTTATCTCCGGGATTCGACCGCATTTATGCAAGTCTTTGCGTAAACTGGCAAACCAGGTCTGACGGGAACATGGCTTCTCAAAAAAAGGTTAAAACGCTTTCAAGGCCAAGACCAGTTGCATCGCCGTGAAGGTGTCCCGGTTTGGCGGCAGGAACTGGCAGCGCACGCTTGTGGTGACCGTCTCGCTTTCGCTTTCGTCTCGTGTATAGCGAGAAAACTTCCATACTAGACCATAGCAGTACGTACACATATGTACCAAAGACAGACCGCCACACAGGGCCATACATCTCAACGTCAGCTGCACGCCTGCACTGATGCACTTTTGGCTTCAGGCACCCCGGAACAACAAATAGAACAAAGAATTGCTCTTCGACATGCAAGGTCTCCTACGTGCCTGCTTCAGAGTGTCTGCCAGGAAGTACTGCCTGGCCATTTGTCGCTGTGTGTCTGTCGCATCACCCACACACATTCGCATCGCACTAGGCATCTTGTGTCAACATGGCTTTTATCCCGGCAGAAGCAAAGGCTTGTCCAAAGGCTCCGAGCGCGCCTGCGAACAAGAAGAGCTCGCAGCAATTTCATCAACGGAGAAGGCATGAAAGGCACATCAAGGAACAATGTGGGGGAATTCCGCTACTACTAGGATTGTACTAGACAACATCCAACAACACAGCGTCAACAAGCCGCTCCAGGCTTCATGCCCCAGGAACTTTAGCAACATGACGCCAAAAGCACTCTCCTCCCACTGCTGCACCATGCTGCACCATGCTGCACCCCATCCATCATTCGGTATGACAGACTACGACGTACTCATCTGCAACTTCGACTGTTTACCCTCGGCTCCAGCAATGTCCACCAAGGCACATTTCGCGCCACAGGCAGCTGGAGGAGCGAGCTGAAATGGCACAACGAAAACCTTAGACTACCAGAAGTTGCGTATTGGAGCTTTCGTCCACAGCATTACAACATTCCCGGCTAGGACGCCAGGAGGTCCCGAACTGAGCCAAAGACAAAGCAACCATCACAACAAACATCAGGAAGGCCTCGGAGCTCCAAGGCTGCACCTGCAGGAAACATCCAGGAGGCATTGTGAGGCCCGAGAGCCTCTCCCTACCCGACTCTACCCGACTCCACCCCATGCAGAAACCTGTCAAACCTCCGGCCTGTCTTTCATAGGCACTGAACAAGCTTGGATCGGCGTCTTCCTTTGTGTAGAGTCTTTCCTGTACAAAGTCGACAATCCTGAGATTGCAAAACAGTCAAGGTCACGGTGTGACCGGTACCCAAAATATCCCCAAAAATAAAGAAAGCAGAGACATGCAGAGACCAGGCGACTTCCGAAGCTTCGGAGCGAGTGGACCGTCGTGAAGGCTGGACAGCCTAATCCCAAAGGAAAGTTGAGCAACAAAAAGACTCGGAGTCGACACAAGATCGAACATTGCACTCTGATTGTAGTCTTTGTGAGCAATGATGTTGCACCTGCTTTAGTGGGGGCCCGCTGTTGAAAGTCGCGCTTGCTGGGGACACGGTGCTTGTTTGGGGACGCGCTGGGATGCTGAATCCGCTGAGGCCTTGGGCCGAAGGCAGGCACATGTCGGCCCCCTTTTTCTGCCTGGAATGGGTACCCTCCGTTGGCGATCGGGATCTGAAAGGGGACGGTTTGCCGCTCCCAAGAAGAAGCTGACGCCAAACCCCCCAACCCCCCCCTGCCAACCCCACCCAACCCCCCCCCCCTCCCCCCTTTCCCCCCCCCCCACCCACCGCCCTGATATGGGTCATGGGTCAAAGTTGAGGGTTTCGGGTTTCCTCACCACTATAATCCCCTCCCCAAATAGCTTGCGCCCTTTATCTGGGAGCCCTTTATTTGGCCTTTTCTTGGGGTGTTTTTTGCAGGCGAGAGGTGTTGCAACCCCACCAGCGTGTGTCGTAAGAACTAAGAACATTTCGTGCGGCGTGCCTTCCAATCAATTGGCGGGCCTCGCTGCCCCTTTTATCTCATATACATTCCTCCCGACTAAAACCATGAAGCCGTCTAAAGAAAGCTAAAACCAGCTTCGACTGTTTGGGGGGTGGGGGGGTGGCGGGGGACCACACTAAAGCAGGCGCAACATTGGTGAGCAACATGCGCTTTCTACTCTCAGCTGCCCGCCAGATGATGCGGTCCGAAGGATAGCCATCTTCGTATACCTCCACACATCTCCACGCAGACACTGAGGCATTGAGGCATTGAGGGAAGGCCTCGGATGCATTCACGTCATTGTAGAACGCCTGCTGGGCGGACTCGTGCCGGCTCGGCTTCCTGCAAACACAAAGACTCAAAGACTCAAAGACTCAAAGACTCAAAGACATGCAAAGACATGCAAAGACATGCAAAGACATGCAAAGACATGCAAAGACATGCAAAGACATGCAAAGACATGCAAAGACATGCAAAGACATGCAAAGTCATGCAAACATGCAAAGACATGCAAAGACATGCAAAGACATGCAAAGACATGCAAAGACATGCAAAGACATGCAAAGACATGCAAAGACATGCAAAGACATGCAAAGACATGCAAAGTCATGCAAAGTGCAAAGACATGCAAAGACATGCAAAGACATGCAAAGACATGCAAAGACATGCAAAGACATGCAAAGACATGCAAAGACTCGCAAAGACTCGCAAAGACTCAAAGACTCAAAGACATGCAAAGACATGCAAAGACTCGCAAAGACTCGCAAAGACTCAAAGACTCAAAGACATGCAAAGACATGCAAAGACTCGCAAAGACTCGCAAAGACTCGCAAAGACTCAAAGACTCAAAGACATGCAAAGACATGCAAAGACTCGCAAAGACTCGCAAAGACTCAAAGACTCAAAGACTCAAAGACTCAAAGACTCAAAAAGACTCAAAGACTCAAAGACTCAAAGACTCAAAGAAGCAAAGACATGCAAAGACTGAAGGACCCAAAGACCCTTGAGTTCCGGCAAGAGCGTCGAGAACCCCAGGCTTCAAGCAACTGAAATTCTTGAGACATGCGACGGTCGTAGGCGCTCACATTGAGCTTGCCGTTGGTGTCGGCGAGCGAGTGCCAAAAGACTGCTCCAATCTCATAACGCCGTGCCAGATCAGACTCAACGAGGCTCGGTATGTGGATGCGCTTTCCTGTTTCATCCAGCAGCCTGCCAAGGATAGGCACGCAGGAGATGAAACAGCTTTGGAACTTGGCATCGCCTGGACCATCCAATCGGAGCCCATGAGGCCAAGGGCCTGCAGAGCACAACAGAACATTTACAACCTTTCATCCTTTCTGATGCATTCAAAGAGCGCTCTCAGATGGTGGCTAAGCAGAAACTCACGCGGATTGCATCTGCCGCAGCAGAACAGTCTGTAGCCAAACAACAGGAACCCCGCAGCTTCTGAGTAGCTTTACTTCAAGACTTGACACAGGAACTGTCGATAGTTGCTGTTCTCGCCGTTTTGCGAATAAGGCGTCGAGGAGTCACGTGGAATAATTCTGGCAACGATGGCGGCCATGAAAGTGCCTGGTGTAGCTCCGGCCATCCAGGGCATCTCGGTCCGTCATGAGCACCTGAAGTGGTTTTCCACCGTTTCACCCTACTACTTCGACTGAGAAGTTGCGCCCGTGCTTCTAGTTATTGACGTGCTTCATTGCTTTTCAAACAGTCACAGCAAGAAGTACCAACCGAGTGCGCATCACAGTGGCTTGTCATGGTGTTGTCTTGGAGGTTGTAGCTGATGCTGCCAGATGCTGACTTGCTGCTCTCCCATGCCCTCTTTTGTCTGGGCTCAAGTTTGCTATGGATTGCCGCTGATGCCGGCTTTCGACTCAATAAACAACAACGACTCGAAGGAAGGGTGTCTTTCACATCCAGTCTTAGTGCAAGCAGTGCTGTCAAGCAGCTGCATAGTCGGAGGAGTGCAGGGACAGCGCAGCACCCTGAGCCCAAATGCCTAGACAGGGCAAGTCACGTCCTGGTTGCATCTGCCATCATCATGTCTACTCCCTGACCTTCGAAAACAAACTGCAGAATCGCAGACTGTATGACGAACTCAGTGTACTCCTGCAGGGCTCAAAAGAGCATCAGGCAAGTTCCTGCCAAGCATTCCAGCATGGGTTGCCTCTAAGACAGCAATGCGTGTTGAATATGGACATCGAGGAGGAATGGCAACTGGGCACTGTCCTCAGCCACAAAGCCTGCAAAGGAACCATCGCTCATGGCTCCCTGGCATTGCAACGCTTCAGAGAACATGCTTCAATGCAGCTAAGAACATCCAGGAAATATACATTCAAAATACAGTGCCGATCAGAACCTGCTTGAACAGCACGGTCGCAATCTCCGGAGTGGCAAAGACCCGGAGGTGATGATCATTCGTCTTTAGAGCTTCGCCAATGTGCTTGCGGGACTTAGTCTTGCCACCACAGCACCTCATCTGAAAAACTGCCGAAACTCCAAAGCATCAGAATAACAGTCTCGAGGATGATAAGCGTCCGCCACAGCGTTTCGGATTCATCCAACCCAACATGATGCAGCTTGCACACATTCCTGCGATGGAACGCAGCTTGGGGTTTTGCCCTGAGTGCCCAGTCGCTTCCATGGCGTCTCTTTGCATCTGACCCACTCCGAGGTCGCTGCCCTCCAACGACAGCAAGCTTGAACACTCGCGGGATCTTGGCCTCAGCCGTTAAGATTTGGCTTGAGACCAGCCCTTCCGTAGGGTCAAGTCTGCGTCACTTCGATTGACCTCCAAGGTGTGGACAAATCCCCACTCGACAGCTTCCAGGGTCCTGGGAGAGAGCTCCTCTCCTGGACCACTTGTATGCGCTTGCATTCACTTTCTCGCTACAAGTGGATGCTGCAGGTTTGTGTCTTCGACCCTCGTCATGACAGCCTGCAGTGGGTTTTGGCGCGCCCGGCGGCTGCAGCAAGGGGGCTGCGGCCTCTAAGAGAAGAGAGGACGGAACTGGCTTTGCACATCCCACAAGGTGGTCAATATTGAAGTTTCAGTAGCCAAACGCAGCAACAGAACGAGACGGTCATCTCCTGCCTTCGTATACTCACCTGTAGACAGCAGCTGCCTGAAAAACGCACGAGGCGTATTGCGCGGGTCTGTGGCCTAGCGATTACAACTGCCAGTAGGCGTAAGTCAAACAATGGGCAGGGACAGCAAAGAAATGTGGGTATCAGCTACTAGGAGCTGAGGCTCATGTTGCACACAACTTTGTGGAAGATCAACGACTCAACGACCCCAATCTTCGCAACCATGCGCATGATCCGAATGGCAGCGTTTTGCCCAGTCGCTGGCGGATATTGACAATAGCTGCGTTGAGGGCAGCAGCCAAGCGTTCGGCCATGTCCTCTGCATGCGGATCGCATGCTGCCGCACAGGGATGAGGGAAAATGTCGAATCTTGGCAGTCCACCTTTCCGCAGCCTACTTCTGCGACATCTGAAGGACGGCAAAAGGGCAGTGCCCTGCAGCGCATCAGTCCTTGCCCTGAGAAAGATGGTGCACGTCCAAGTATCCGTCCTTGCAACTGTAGTCTAAATTTCAGCTCGCGGGAACTGGAAACAAAGGGCCACCCCCACCCCCTAACATTATTGAAACAAAGCCGGAAATCGGTCAGACCACTCCAGGGAACCCGAAAGAACCTCGCATCTTCGAACTCTTGAAGCCCTCTTGCCATCCTTTTAACCTTCTTGGTAATATGGGGGATAGAGTGGGGATTGCTTCAAGAGCTTTGAAGAGGGCTTAGGCTTGTGATGTTTAGGGCTAAGCAGCTATGGTGTAAAGTTGAATATTAAAATTGAACGTGTCGGAAAATCGTCCTGCCCACTTGCCCCACTTGCCAATTGGCCTGCCTCACCACTTGCCCCACTTGGTCTGCGGTTCCCACTTGCCCCACTTGCTCCACCATGCGGCACTTAGAGGGTGCGTGCAACACCTCGCACACCCCCTTATTTCACGATGCGAGAATGACTTAGGTGTGGCGGGGGGGGGGGGGTGGGGGGGGCAGGACCACCCGAATGGACAAGACGGTTGGGCACCGTTTTGCTCCACCTGGCACCCCCGAGCCCCACCTCGTGCCGGCACCGGGTCCTAATGAGAAAGCGCAAGCAGGTCACGCGGTGCAATCTTACCGAAGGGCCATACCGGAAAACTTAGCTTCGACACCAAACGCTGTTCCGAAGGCCCTCTGAAGCAGAGGCCTCGTTTCTCGCTTCCACTCTGGCTGACAGTGACAAGAGATTGAACGTTTTTGGTCTGGTGATTCTTTTGGTGGTGTTCCTGTGTATTGAAATCAGAAAACCTCAATTGTGGTTCGCATAACCGCCGGAGGGGGAAGTCCTAAGACAATGGCGAAAGTGATACTATGCGATACTAATGGGAAACCGTTGCAATCGTAGCAAGAAAAAGCGACAGATAGCGATAGAATTTTGTACTAGTCGTAATAATTGAGGCTGCTGATACTGGATAGTAGCATGAAAAGAGGAAGCCACCGCAATTATTTTAAGGAGTAACAGTCATGAACATGCGAAACTTGGACTTCACGTCCCCAAACCCGAAGGCCACGAAACCAGAAACCTGAAACACCCCCAGCTGCTCATCAAGCAAGCCATCGGCTTGCAAGGTGCTTAATTCAATGAGCCGCCTTGCAAAACAGAACGGATGCCAGAACCAGAAAGCAGCTCGAAAACGATCAACAAAAAGAATTGCCCAACGTTAGGTGCTGCTATGGGCTTGGTCACATGCAGACCGGTCTCCTCCATGATCCTGGTGATCAGTGCAACCCCGCACTTTACTGCACTACAAGTACTTTAGTGTAATGGTGCGGAGACGTAAGCAGCACCAAAATGCACAACACAACACATCACAAGGCACAGCAAAACCTCATCGCGTCGTCCACCGACAGCAGCCGGAAAGGCCGAGAAGGGATCGACGTGCTTGGCGTGCCTGCACTGATCGGAAAAATCATGAGCCGCTTCGAATCGTGCCGAAGTGCGATATCGCATCATGTTCTGTGAATCGACACTGGCCTGGCATAGCTATCGCAAACATCAGCGCCAGAAGACATCTACTACACAAGGGCATGGCCAAGAAGCACAAGTGATAGTCTCAAGTACTGAGCAGAGTGAACTCTGCATTGCAACTAGCTAGCTGTGCATGATCCCACACTCCGTTGGCAGCCGAACAGGTGACAATGAAAAGCGTTTCGCATACGTGAACTGATTTTTGTCTTTGAACCTTGAACTGACAGTTCAATCGAGTGGCCTGCAACTAACGTGTACCATGAGATGGCTGAGAAATAGCAGCGGTGGGTTCATGATGCATCTGAGAGGTCAGGTTGCACTTACCTAGTACACTAAAAGACATTCAATCTAAGCGACCTACGTGCACTAAGAACCAAGACGAGCCGTCACTGCTGCTTCCAGTAGCCAGGATCTGCCATGGAGCCTGACAAGCTGTTTGGTCAAAGCGGTGTGGCCTGAAAGAAGAGGGATGAAGCGTGATGAAGTGAAGCCAAATGGCACCACGCCTGCTAGAGGATTTTCGAACTTGGGTAGCCAGGAGTTGGACTCCTCAGCGCCACACCTGGCAACAAGACCAAGATAAGCATTCCATGACACCATGAGTAGCAATGTGACAAGCAAGCTACCCGAAAAACACTGTCAAGATGAGTCCAAATAAGTCAAATCAAGATGCACCGCGTGCTCGCAGCGCAGGCCTGACCCTGCTCACCCTGTCGCACGATCTGCGAGAGCTGAGAACGCTGCCCGGCCTGGTCGAGATAGAACGCATATACGCGCATGCGTGTGCATGTGTGCGCTTGCGTGCTGGCGCTTGCGTGTGCGCTTGAGTGTGCGTGTGCTTGTGCGTGCGCGTGTGTGCGCGTGTACGCATGTGCACGTGTGCGCGCATGCGCGCGTGTGCGCGAGTGCGCGTCTGCGCGTGCACGCATGTGCGCATGTGCGCATGTGCGCGTGTGCGCATGTGTGCGTGTGCGCGTGTGCACATGTGCGTGTGCGCGTGTGCACGTGTGCACGTGTGCAAGACTGAGAGCGCGCGAGCGGGGCGCGGGGGCGCGGGTGCAGGCGTGTGGGCGTGAGGGCGAGCGGGTGAGCGGGCGAGCGGGCACGGGGGCGCGCGGGTGTGGGGGCGTGGGGGCACGCGGGCGCGGGGGGGGCACGGGTTCGCAGGCGTGCAGGCGTGCGGGTGTGCGGGTGTGCGGGCGCGCGTGCATGCGTGCGTGCGTGCGCGCGAGCGTGGGAGCGTGCATGCGAGATCGTGCGAGCGCGCGCGCGCGCGTGCGTGCGTGCGTGCGTGGGTGGGTGGGTGGGTGGGTGGGTGGGTGGGCGGGCGAACATCGCTGGACATGTGGCTTGCAAAAGACGTTCCTTGCAAACATGATGATGTGAATGGTGAGCTATCATTTCCCGCTTACTTGCCCTCCATTGCATCAATTGCAGACCTTGACAGGGCATCCCGAGTGTTTACGGAACGCCTCATGTGTCTGTCGCAGGAAGTTGCATTCTGAATTCTGAGCTGGTTGCACATCCAGTCAAGTTCTTCATCTTGAATTTGAAGATCGAACAGTTCAGGATGAAAGCACCCTCAGGCTGGTCGGTTGAACTTAGTTAATCAGGCCTTCTACGGTTGACATCTTGCCGGTTTCTTTACGAGTCTTGCTCAAGGCCACATCTTACAAGACTGTGCTTCTGCGGAAACCAGATCTTGAAACAAGGCCGTTGCTCTTGCAAAATTGGGCAGACCGGTCGATGCGCAATTTAACAAATGCACTCCTCTGCTTGGGTGTGTGTGTGTGTGTGTGTGTGACCTATAGGTGCTCCTTGTAATAGCTTGTAACACCAGCTCACAAAACATTGTGACAAGGACTCGAGCAGCGATGGCCTAAAGCATATCCAGGCGCTGCTGACAGGCAGGTGCCTGCATGCTTTGCTGGGGCTTAATGCTTCCTCTTTGCCTCATCGTTGCTGTGACTTGCAAGGGCACACAGGTTGGCGCACAACCTTGGCAACGTTCGCCCACAATATTGGACTTCTACATGATTCACTGCGTGAAAGGTTCAACAAGGCGCAAGCTGCAGAGGCGATTACAACATGAAGAATGCCTCGAGCAACAAGCCCCACGGGAAACCGCAGCCCACCTTGCTGCCAGACATAGAAAAAGCACAGCCAGAACCTGGATTTCAGGGCAAAGCCATGCAAAGCCGGGGTATCAAAGCGGACGAATTGACATCGACAATCGGGTCTATGGTACTGGCAAGTCTGTGTGGTGTGCGCTTGTGGGGCTGGTGGGGGGTGTGACGCACGCACGTAGGCACCCAGCATACTTCAGGGTGATTCGACACGACGCAGAACCACGTTCTTAACGACAAGCAAGCAAGCAGGTGCACTGCACGGAGCTTACGCACGTGATGCGCCAATGTGAAGCAAGCTCTGCCCTCAGCTCAGCGGACAATGCTGAAGCTATCCTTCACAAACTGGTCTCTTCGTGCCCAAGGACAGGAAGGCAGTGCCAAAGTTCGCCGACCAGCTACCACAAGTGGCTTCCCTCTCGTCAGCCTAACAACGCCCCAGCCAGAGATGCCAGGCAAAGCTCAGCAGCCCTCAGCACGTCAGTGTCATTGTCGTCATGCCAGGCGGGTGCGCGGTGGACTTAGTGAGTGCTCGCTAATGCACGTGCGGCGCGTGTGCGGTAGGAGGGGAGCGACTTGGGCGGCTGAGGGGCCGAGCTATGGTATGCTATGGTCAGATGCCAGAATCCCAGCTGCTTTGGAAGATGCAACTAAGGTTCACTGAAAGATCCGGGAAGGTTGCTGGTGCCTATCCAATATCCTTCCTGAATTTGATCTCTCGAGCACTGGACATCCACGTCGCATCCACGTCGCATCCACGTCGCATCCACGTAGCATCCACTTAGCATCCCCACAACAACTGAGGCAAAAGCCTTTGTCAATGGCCGAAGCTGGGAGCCAAGGGAGTGCCGCATGGCAAAAACGAAATAGGCCCTGAGGCTCGACGCCCGACTGAAGGTGGCTTACCTGTTGCCTACATTTGCCTACACTGAGTCGGTAAGGTCACTAGAGTCACTAGAGCACTGAGGCTGACTAAAGCTTCTGATGCATCCTAGGTTTCTGGTGCCTGCTAATGGCCACACTGCTGGTAGGCAAACCCAGGTGAGTCACAATAGCAAAGGAACATGAAGCGAATCAAACGGCTTTGGGATGTCCATCTCCAGTTCAATTGTTGCTGCTCAGCCGAAAATGGCTGCCTCCAGAAAAGAGATCTGAGACATAACAATCATACAAGGCGCTCCACATCAACTTGAGTAAGGCTCGCTTTGTTCCAAGTTTCCAACAACATGTTCCCCGACATGCCTCTTGTGTAACGGCACAACGACAAAAGGACAGTTGCCGCATGCCGGTTTCATGCACCTCCGGCTCCAGGGCAGGGCAACTGAGAAAAGATGAAGACACTTAGCATGACATGGTGTTCATGATGTTCTTCTGTCTGGGATCTGTGCTTCCCTACGCCGAGACCTGCGGCCCTAGTCGACCTAGAGGCTATGAAGGGTTTGCATTGTTTTGCACGTTTTCTTTCGGGTGGAGGACTGCTCCGGAAGCCAGGCGTGGCTGTCTCAACGATGACTCAACTCACTGACGTGCAGATGTGACAAGTACATGCCGCAGTGCCGTAGCCGTGCTTTTCTATCGCCATCTGTGCAATTTCGCACGTAGTGGGCAATCTTTCGACCTGCTGATCAAGCTTTTGCATGCCGCTACAGCCGTCCGAATGCTCATTCAGTCAGTTTCAAACGTATTACGTGCTGCCACTGTTAGTAAATTCCCAGGCTTAGGCTTCGCGGCATCTCGATTCAAGTTGGTGCAAGCTGATTCAAATGTGAATGTGAACTGAAGCTTGGAACAACACGTCTAGCTCTCATCCCCATGCATGATCATCCATGCTTGATCATCACGCCAAAAGCACGGAGCTGATGAATTCTTGGTGCGGCAGATTGCCGCAGTCAACTTTGAACCTTTGTACAACTTGGCAGGCACCCTCCAATCCTGTACAGGGGCAATCGCGGTGCCCGCGGCGCCACATCAGGATGCCCTTTCAGCCAGCAAACCCCCCTGTGCAACATCATGAGAATCAGGTTTAGACTTTAGACAGTGCAGTACTAAGCAGCTGGAATAGTTCATGAGGCCTCACCTCAGCCTTGAACGCGCCACGGCCAGAACTCGAGGCAACGGCACGCCTGGTCGTGCAGATGTTCCAGGCTGTCGTTGATGTCCGCCAGCACAATGAGCTGCGCAGACAAGCCCCGCAAGAATCTGTGTAAAAGAGCAAACACACCACAAGCACTCATAAGCACACATAAGCACACATAAGCACACGTCGACTAATGGTGCGTCAAATGCTGGTCATCTCCTGCTCGCTGAGGTGTTCAGTGCGGAGCTCCAAGAGCTGACGCTCTCGCTCGGAGAAGTGAAGCTGCTGCCGGGCATCAGCCTTTGTCACAGCACACCATCTTGGCAAATGCTGTTTTGTTTCTTAGGATGTCGGGCTCAAGCTTCCTACGTGATCCCGTGGCTATGTCGGAGTGCATACTACCGGGCTTCCGCGCGTGCTCTGCTCTTTCGTGGCCCAGGCGCTCGACCAGGCGACTATTTAACTCCTCACTCTCAGGTCAAAGCGTTTTTTACGAGGTTCAGCTGAGAGCAGCGGGAAAGAAGCGATATGAAGCGTTCAAGGCGTTTTAGGTGGCTTAGCTTGTGGTGCGCCTTGAGCTCCTGGAGCTCATCACGGAGTCTCTGCAGCTCCTGACGATCTGTGGCACATTTTTGGCAGGCAGACTCCGCCAACTAAGCTAGATTTCAGTTTTTTTACGCTAGGCCAGCTAGGCCCTCCTGGCACCATCGGGCACCTTTGCAGGCTCTTGGGTTCAGCAACGGAACCTCAGGCACCCCCAAAGCGAGTCCTCCTGGGACTTGGCGTCCGTACGCCGGCAGCGCGCCAGCTGAATCTGTTTGAGTAGTTCCTGATGGCTGCGGATGGCTGCGGCACGTGCAGCGCTTCCGGACAGCTTCGTGAGGCTAACTGAACAGCGCAGCGCTAAAGTTTGTGCAGGCCACAAGCCAAGGTCAGCTTTCGAGAGCGAGGGCGAGCTGGGCTAGGATTTGCTTGACCCATGTTGACCCACCCTTTGATCCCTCTGTCAGCAAGGCGGACACAAGGCACGGCGCAGGATTTAAGCAAATTTAGACCTGCATGCCCACATCGCCCAAAACCACCGTCCAAGGTTCTGACAAAACATGGACGGAAACAAGGCTCGATCACCCTACTCCGCGTTGACTGTTTGCATGCCAATATAGGCCAATACACCTCCACCTCACCTAGAAACGCGAAAGGGACATCCCAGACATCCCAGACATCCCGAACACACTTTCCAAGTATCACGGAGTTCCAGGCTCTAGCCAGAAAGGGGTATAAGCATCATGAGGATGGTGCTAATCCAGAGGGTCCTGAACTTTCTTGTTGTGCTCCTTCTTGGTGTCTCGGAGCAACAGCTTTGAACTCTCCGCCTTCCACGGCCAGCTACCAGTCATCACGACTTTCCATGTGCTTTGGTTGAAGGGTTTGGGCTGAGGCTGAGGGTCTTCAGAGTCTTCAGAGATCGGATGAGGTCGGCGAGGCTGCGAGATGCAGATTATGTGGGGACATTTGAAATTTGATGTGTGAACGAATGGTGGGGGCTCGTCTCCCACACATGAAAGAAGCACTAAAGCACTGACTTCGCAGCATTCAACAGCTGCGTAGAGCACTTCCTGTCCCATGGCCAGATTTCGATACTCTCGACTTCTCCAGCTGCGCCGGGCTGCGCCTCCTCTCTGCTTTCTTGCAGAGCATTGGCACTTTGTCGCATGGCCTCCTCACAGTGCAAGTCTTTGCATTTACCGCAGGCCCACGAATGCAACGCGACTCAAAGCCCAGAAACGCTTACCCTTCATGGAGGACGATGTTCATGCACAGGCTCTGACCATCAGAGCTATGCCTCTGCAAGCTCTTGCTTCGCAGCGCTGCAGCTCAGCTTTTCCCGCATTTCCTGTATGTTCGTCCGAAAGGCATTGAAAGCATGATCAGTGAATCAGCTCGTGAGAGTGTCAGATATTGACGCGGCGGCTGCATCACGGTCAACATTGGAGAACCCAGCCTTGAGCTGCTTTTCGAGTGCCATGGTCTTATCCTACAGCAGATCGATTGCAGTCTTGGCTGAAGGTCGAGAAGGTGTCGCACCACGTTGCGGCCCTTGCCGCTTAACAGCTCGAGAGTCGAAAAACAACTCGAAAACTAACTCCCTTCACTCGTGACTGACCCAGCACGCCAGCTCGAAACTCCCGATATTCGAACATCATGTGCAATCAGCTCAAAAGGTTGAGAGGCAAGTGGAAAACTGCAGATCACAGGTAGTTCGAGAGTCGCGTCCTCGAAGCGATCCACCAAGTCCGACAAAAAGCCTGAGTGCATGGGATGTTTAGCTTCCTGCATTTACCCGGCCGAAACTTGAGTGTACATAAGGCAGTACTGGGCATGTTTAGCACTTGCCTTTGTGGTTGTCATGATGCTGGGAATTCTCACAAGCATGTCACGAGAGAAAATTATGCCTGTTGAAGGACAAACCGGACAGATCGTGTCACGAAGCCCAACGCGAAGGAGTAGCTTGTCCGAGACTGCAAGGAGTCCACTTCATCAGCGAGTTGCCGTGGAGTCCTTGCCGATGTTCAGTTTCAAGGAATTTCAACTAAACTGTCGCCGACCGAGCCCCTTGCCGGCCACACACTGCTGCAGCGTCACGAGACCGCTGCGCCCGCTCCGCTTCAAGGCTCTCCTGCGCCACAGTGACGTTTAATCTTGGCAAAACCGTGGTGCACTGTGGTGCTCTCTGGTCCAGCTTGTACCAGGTGCATGGGTGAGCATTCGGGACGAAGCTTCGTCCTGGGCCTGCTGCAACTCAACCTCCTGGCAAAGACCAGGGCATGTCTCCGTGTCATTTCCCACTGCCATCGAAAAGGATGTGCAATGTTAAGTTGAGTCAAGTTTACTGCGGGAATGCCAATCACTCATCTAAGACTCATCTACATTCTGCATCTTTCTGCAGGGTCCTTGCTGTGGAGCTTTTCCTCCAGCAGCTCCACTTGCGCTTCCAACTCGCACATGACTCCCTGCCCATGTCAACGTTAGCCACTGCTCACCGCGTGATGGTGCTGAAAGGAATGTCACCAGACCTGGAACTTGTTCAACCTTTAAGCCACACGCAGCACCGACCTTGACCAATCTTGCTCCGAACTCCAAAATCCAAGCGGATCACTGAACTCCTGGTCTCCACCCAGCAAAACATTCGAATTCCAAGTCGTAAGAGCACGGTAGCACATTGGCTTGGGGTATATTGTGGAAGAAGCACCTGAAATCTCTGCATGTAGCAACCAAATAGACCCTGCAGAAACAGCTCACACGACATTTGGACTCTGGACCTCCGTCTGGCAGGCAGTGGATCTGGACGGCGCTTGTTTACCCAGAGCCTTGCAACCAAAAGGATTGCTTCACGAAATGCTCAACGTTGCAGATGCAAAGCCGTTAACCGATGACAGGGAGCAGACTCAACAATCAGACCACCTAGAGCACGTGGACAATCAACAACATGTGAAGAAGCACGCACCCGAATGCAGACACGCCAAAACTGTAGCATCTGCACGGAATGCATCGCATAATAAATGTATTTGCAATATATGTACGACAAATTGTGCTCCCTGGTCGATCTCGCACGCAGCAGCAGCTGCTGCAGGAGCACGGCCAACGGCCAACGGCACCGCAACTTCTTGCAAGCAGAACTTGATAGTGCGAGGTTTGTTCCACCGACCGTGCCATTGCCATGCGATCAAAGTTTCTGTCGGTATCCAAATATCAGAACGTTGCTCCTGGCGCCAGCCCGCCAAAAATCGAACCCCCGTTCAAGACAGATTCCCACATCCCCCTCCTGGCGCCCTGGCCCACCCTCCCCCTGCCCCCCTGCCCACGAGAATCCCAAGCCCTCAACCCTTCAGCACACATGTTACCGTACTCCATATTGCACCCTGCCACTGTCTCAGCATGCCCGCCTAACCTGGCGGTTTGTCTTTAGCTTGGTTGTTTCTTTAGAAGGATTTCGGTGTGTAAACCGATGCGGCAAATTAACAAGGACGTAGGTAGGGTAGCTAGGTTCGGATCTCGGACCTGGACCCTTCCTCCCCGTTTTTTGCAGAAACCCTCTTTCCTCCTTTCCTGTCCCGGGGCCCGGCTGCCGAGGGCGCGCGCAAGCGTATCAAGCGTTTACAATTACTTGCCTTGCTTTGTTTTTGCTCACGATTGGCCGGCCTGCATGTACTATCCTTGAGGGAGCTGAAGGGCCGCTGCAATGTAAGCGCCAGGCAACTGTCAGCCCTGCGTTCTCCTCCTCCAAAGTCATCACTTTGCGCCTGGGAACAACAAATACATAGCCACCTCCCCACGCACACACACACACACATACACACCCTGCTCCGTCCAACTTGCAATGTGGAATCCTCTTGTTGTTGCGTTTTTGGGGATCCATGTAGCACACTGCCGCCATCTGCATGAAGGCACGCACGCAGGAGACTTTATGTGATGGCATTCACGTAAGTTGATGAAAGGACCAAAACAAATGTTGGTACGTGTGCCGGCCAGACGGAGCCATACCAACAAGGTACGGGTGCACGGGGGCCCCCGGTTCCCTGCTGGAGAAAGCGATCCCCACTTGCATATACAACCAGTTGAGCGTGCGCGCATACACACAGACTGACAGACTTACAGACACAGACAGACGGACAGACAGACAGAGAGACGGACAGACAGAGAGACGGATAGACAGACAGACAGACAGACCAACAAACAGGCCGACGGACAGACAGACAGACAGAGAGAGACAGAGACACACACACACACACACACACAGTGGAATGATGGACATGTGATACAAGTGCAGGACAATTTTGCATTTTACGAACACAGAAGACAAAATGCGGTGGTGAGCGCGGCCACGCCTGCGCCAAGGCGAGAGCGCACATTCTTGTCCAAAAAGCGCGCAGGCTTCGAGAAAAGCCCACAGTCCGGGTCGCCCACACAACCCAAGAGCGCCGTGAGCAAAAAACGGCAAAAACATGAATTGGAACTGGAACCATGCACACGTTGAATCGTCCGGATGTCGCGTGTGATGGTCATCGCAAGTAGAGAAAACTGGCCAAGCCCGTTCCCATCTATGTCCACAGCTTGGGGGGTGACACACACACACACACTTGCACCTTGTCTGCTGCACACTTGTGTACCACTCGGCATCGTGAGATGTAGCACGCACAGAACAGCAGAAAAAAACTGCTAGGCTCCTCACTCAAAACGGTTCACGAGAACCTGAAAGAAAGACGAGCAACCGGCATTGACTCAAACATTGACATGAGGTGACCCGAGATGACCATGGAGTGTGACGATGACATTCTTTCCGCGTGCCGAAGTCTGTTGCATAACTTCTCAGTCAGAGCGAAGCGGCTCGCCTGCAAGAAGTCGATCTTCTCCTGAAGGGCCTAGCGCATGCATGTTAGTCACACAGGTTCCAGAAGCTACCATGCACATCTCTGAGTATCTAACGCAGAGCGCGCTGTCGTCTGCCACTTTGCTCGTCGGCTTCCTGGCACACTGAGAATATTTGGCAGATGTCAAACAGCACTCATTCTGCTAAATTATTAGCTGCATCTGCTGCCTCCGCAAAACAGCGAGTTCGGCCCGAGCCTGCAAGAACAGCTGAAACCAGACCCCACAAAGTCTCGCCGAAACTGTAAACGCTGCTGAAGTCAACAGGAAACAGAAGCGACTTGTGGGCTTCTGACATCCTGGCTTCTCGGAGATGATATGGCTGACTTTCTAGGCTTGACAAGAGGATGGCATGTAGCAGTACATGGCACTTTACTAACATTACATCTTGGTGGTACTGTGCCTCGTCGAGGTCCCGTCCTTGAGCCGCCGCAGCCACCTGTGCCCACACACACGCACACAAAAAGTACCAGCAGATATGCTGGAGTCTGCATGCCCTCTCAGACCCCAGGCTGTGACTTTGAAATGGAGGAATTTGCAATGTGGTATTTCCACCCATGAAATTCACACAAGAAAGTCTCTTCCGCATGTCCAAAGCAGCCTGTGTCTCACGAGCACCTACAAACCTGCAACATGTTTGCTTGGCGACTGCGCACATGATCAAGCAGCTGCAAGTACTGTCGCCGTTTGCCCAATGCTTCATGTTTCAATTTGAGAGTCAGCTTGATATCATGTAAGTCTCGGAGAAACACAAGATTTTCCGCAGGAGAGACGACATTGACAGTTTGCTTGCGAGACAAGATACCCACGTGCCGAGATTTGTGCCCCCAATATAGCACGGAGACAGACACGCTTCTCTCAGCAGCGGATGACATTGACAGTTTGCTGGCCGAGATTCGTTCGCCAGAAGCCATACAACTTTGGGATACAAGTACAAGAGACGCATTGGCTGTTGCACGGGAACCAACGAGAAGTTTAACTGCTGCGCGCCGAAACCAGCACAGAGAAAAACAAATCTTTTCTGCAAGTGTTTGCAAGACAAAAACGCAAGTACCGAGACTTGTGTGCCAGCAGCCTGCACAAGTTTGAGATACAAGGGACATGTTGGCGGTCGCACAAGATGAAATGGGAAACTTACCGTGCTTGCCCCAACCTAGCAAGGCTCCACACATGAGATGATGTTGAGAGTTTTGTTGGCAAGACAAATAACCACATACCGAGAGTTGTGCGCTTCTTGGCTGTTGCAGGCTGGAAGCAGGAAACTGTGAGCACAACAACTTCGCCAAGATCGAAGCAGGTCGGAGGCCCTGCGTGAAAACTGCAGCTGATGAGAATCTAAGCAGACCGGATACAGTCCCGTGAGGTTCTCTTTGAGCAACACCGCGCCGCGGCAAGAATCATGATTGTTTTCCCTCCGCGGCAGAGATCACGATTGTTGCCGTGGCGTGATTTACACAAATCATCAAGCCACGAGGTTGGCTTCAGGTAAGGAATCTGATGAACATCAGCTGCACACCACGGTACTTTCAAAGGTATACTTGCCCGCGGGCTCGACCATAGCCATTGAGTCACTAAGTTTCTCAGGTAGGGGTATTCTGGGCTTGTCTAGCCTTCAACTATACCTAAACGAGCTCACGAGCGTCAAGGGAGCCTAAGTTCGGCCGCCGCTGCCCACACATCCGGCCACCCCGGCCCACCATTTTTCTGAGGAGAGAACCCCAAACAATACTACCAGTTGGGGATATATTTCTAACTGCGAAAAGTGCGCACAGCCCGCGCGATGATATCATTACGCGAAAGCACTAATTGCAGCCTTGCAAAAGCGTCTGCAGCGCATCAGCAGGTGTCAGAGCAACAAAGGTGAGGAGGGGAGGGGACAGCACCTCCATGCTTGCAACTTGACCTTCAAGCTCGTGAACTCGACGAAGCAAACCTGAGGGCAAAAGCTGCTGCAAGGCGCGTTAAACGGGCCCAACAGTTGCGACATGTATCTCCTCAGGGACATCCATACAAGGCCTCTCTCAGTCTCTCCTCTTCCTCTGCGGTTGCACCAAAGCAAATTCTTTACAACACAGTGGATATTCTGTGACCCCTTCTTTCCTTGACCTATGCCTCCCACGCCGAAAAAACCAGGCAGGTCTAGGGCTGCTTTACCAATCGATCGAGGCGATGTGACTTCGGTCCTGCGCCAACAGCTTCGATGCCTCTGCAAGCTATTGCAAAGACCACGGCGGAGGGGTGGACCGTGGACGCCCCTTGTCGAGACTAGGCTTGCCCTAATGCCCCGCAAAAATCACATCACTTTGCCCTTTGGCCCTTGCATCGCAGCATCAGGACTGACGGCTATTGCACGGTACCCCAACTCTTCCTCCTTCTTCTATGATCTTCTCCTTCCTCCTCAGATTTCCTCTTCGAGGCCAGGGTGAGATGCCCCTATCCCGAATCCTCTCTCTTCTTTCTTGGCCCTGCACCCTGCACAGTGAATGGCCTCACAGCACACAGAGACTGTTGAAAAGCTTTGTTGTGGGCTCGCCTGGTGAAGGAGCCTGAGGAGAGGCGAAGGATGTCGTCGGCTGCGCCGCATGCGCTGTGGGCTGCGCCCGGGGCTGCTGTGAGGCTTCGGCGGGAGCCGCCAGGATCAGCCCAGAGCCTGAAAAGTGCCGCTATGTGCAGCTTCCGTCGAACCTCTTGGCTTCTGCAGACTCGTGTTTCCTGTGCTTGTCCCGTCAACTCAGCACACAAGCTCACGCACGGTTGCGCGCAGGGGAAAAGGAAGGCTGGACCTGCCGCTTCCTGCTCAACATTGCATATGGCGGAGCAAGCTTCGAGCAAGCTTCGAGCAAGCTTTACGCATCTTCCAAACCCTTTGCCAGGCGAGGTCCTGAAGCGAACGTTGGAGATGGAGAAGGTGCGCATCAGCCTCAACAAAGCAAATCTGACTCACCTGTTAGCTTCGGCAGCGCAATGCGTCTAGCATGTACATCTTTCGCGGCCTGTGCCTGCCATGGGTTGGCCGGCCAAACACCCTCGTCCTCGTTGCCCTGCCGGTTAGATACTCAAGAAGTCCCGCTACATTCCCTAGATGTATTCCAACAGAAAACATCCAGTCCGCTGACTAAACAACACAAATATTTTGCTAACCGCTGTAAAGCTTTGTCATGCAACAGTAGCAAGAGGCAATGAACCGCAGCTCAGCACTGCTGAGCCTCTCCAGCAATTGCGCATGTGTGCATTGTGGAAAGCGGCACTATGCTGGGAATGGGGGAGCCACAAGCCCGAAAGTGGGATGTGTGGCTCCCTAAATTTTAAAAATCGGAATTAGCGCATTGGCCAGCTCTAACAGTCCACATTAAAACTACATGTGAAGTCTTCCAACTGGATACCCGCTAGGCAGCTGTGAGAGCGGACTCGAGCGGATGCATCTCGGAGAAGGATTGCACGCTGAATTGCAAGAACGAGCTTGCCCTAAACCTCTGTGGGAGTCTGATTGCTCCCAGTAACTTGCCTGACCTCGAGCAGTGTGATGAAGCGCCCATCAGTGGGAGGATGTGGGCGCGCACGAAGGGCATTGCTCTTTGTCATCGTGGCAGTATACACGTGAGGCCATCGCACTGCTACCAGTAGCTGGAAATAGATGGCAAAGAGATGGCCAGCATCGTGGCACATCTTGACCTGCAACAAGCCCTTCCTGTCAAGAATGGGCACTTGAATTGAAGACATCGAAGAGCTTAGACATGAAGCGGCGGCTCACTCATTGCCTCGTCAGCCAAGGAAGCCTTGCCATGTGCATTTGCTACATTCAACCGACGACGCTGAATTCTGGTTGTCCCCAGTCCTACGCATGCACACGGCGACCGGACATGGCGTTTGTGGTTCCCTTGTTCTTTCGGCACAGGTTAACGGTCAGGCCGTCGAAAACCCAAGGCGAGACGAGAGTGCGTCATTGGGTTGGTGAGGGGGGGTGGGGTGCAAATTGCACATGGACGGGGGAAGGGGGGACAGGGGGATGGACGAGATAAAGTCACCAGGGCAAACCGGAGCAAACATGGGCAAGACATGCTTACTCAGTGCAACATTGAGCTGAGTCACGTTGCCACTAAGCCGGCGGACAGAGCCCGTGGGGTTCCAGTAGATGGTGTTCGGAGACTGCGAAGAGAAGTCGCGACACAAGGCCCAAGCGGCAACATTGTAACAACTTGCCGATGCCAACTAAAAGGTGACGTGCCAAGGGGCCCAAAACTCGCCTTCTGGCTCATTGCATTTGTGATTCGCCATGTCCTGAAGCTGCCCGAACTCAGAAGCTGCCCTCAGGCCATCACTTAAAGGCGCCATACATCCGATTAAGCGACGCACACTGGCAAAGTTGGCAACTTTGTTCAGATCTGCAAGAAGACCTTTGTTGGCTTGCCAAAACGTGTCCCCATTGTCAGCATGCTCTCTCCGTCCATATGCACACACATCTCACTCTCTTTCTTTCTTTCTTTCTTTCTTTCTTTCTTTCTTTCTTTGGGGTGTGGGGGCAAGCCCCCGCGCGAGCGCGCGACTCTCTCTCTCTCTCTCTCTCTCTCTCTCTCTCTCTCTCTCTCTCTCTCTCTCTCTCTCTCTCTTGCACACACACACACAGACCGACATGGACACACACACACACACACCAAAAAAAACCCACACACACACACACACACACACACACACACTTTTTTTTTGTTTTAGTGCTCCACATATTCACGTAGTTGGAGATCTGCTGGAGAAGGACATGCTCAAGCAAGAGGTAGTGGATGAGCTCGTGAGTGATGAGGTAGAAGGGTCGCGAATGAAGGTTTATATGACGTATCATATAGGGTTTAGGGTCTTCTGCAAACTATGCTCATCACGCTCCAATGCTCCATAATTCACACTCTGATGCTCCGCAGTTGATGCTCACCCAATTCTGCTCATCACGCTCAGATGCTCTGCAAGTCATGCTCTGATGCTTCACCACTCATGCTCAACCAAGCTTGCTCACCACGCTCAGAAGCTCTACAATTCATGCTCTGATGCTCCACAAGTCATGCTCGCACAACTCTGCTCAGCACGTTCAGATGCTCCACGACTCATGGTCTGATGCTACACACTTCATGCTCCCGCAACTCTGCTCATCGCGCTCCGATGCTGCACAGTGCATGCACATATGCTCTAACACTCATGTTCCGAACCTTCTCCATGCTTTCGTCCATCATCATGCTCGACATGTTCCATCACCATGCTAAAATGACATGCTCACGCAATTCTGCTCAGCTGCTTTTCACAACACACAAGCTGAAAGCATCACGATCCACTCAAGCTTGATGGGCTCGAGGTCTTCTGGGGTTTGGGGTCTGTCATGCTCACGGCTCGAAGAATTCACCCACACGCCAAGCAAAATACGAAATCCACGTTGTAAACTGCGTTGTGGTTGAGGTAGTTGACAAACAACAGCGAGGATGGTACCAATGCACAGCTTGCGTTACAGGACTTCTATAACCATCACTGCAGGTACGTGGAGATGGCGTCCCATCTCCATATCACTGTGCACTGAGAGCGTCTTCGTTGGCAGGAGACTCTCAGGCACACTCCTGCCCCCTGCTGAACATCATGTGCAAAAAACTTGTTAGATCGCAAATTCGTGCTTCTTTTCGCTCTCGTATGCAGTGCTTGTTGACGTTCCCGCATGTACAGCGGTGTGCCACACACACCCCTTTCGGGGCGACAAATGGATTGAGAGCATGGAATTCACACGTAGAGGTAGTCCAAGTCCACGAACTTTTCAGCTCTTTGTTTGGCTTGTTTGTGCGGTGCCGTGAGCAGGTGGATTTCCCATTGTCGCACTGTTCTGGAAGCAATCCTGCAAATTGGACAGGCGAGATATCTGTCCTCCTTTGGGTGGCATTTCATCTTCTTGACCTTCCCGTACTTGTGATGCTTCCGATGTCGATTGGGATTTGGACACGATCTGCTTCTGGGTGTATGGTAATCATCTCGTTTCTGGTACTTCAGGAGCATGTCTTGCACCCGCTTGGTGCTCTCCTCGTGACTCATCACATACTCGAAGTCCGCCCTGGTCTGGATGTAGCGGGAGTGGTACATGATCTCGTGGCTGGTCATGGGATCGTGTTGCCGATGTTAAGAAGGCACGGGTAGCAAGGTGATGGGAACAGCTACTCTTTATGCAAAGCAGCTGCATATGACGATCACAAGGCAGCAGATCAAAGAGAATGTTACATCGACTTACGGCTCCAGTCTCTTTCGCTCAACAAATGGTTCGGACACACTAGGATGACATTGCACAGACACTTGACGCTCAGCATTGACGCTTGTTCTGTTGTTCATCTGGTCGTGGAATAACCCTGTGTGAAACTGCGCCGAACACTGATTGTCACACGTTTTGGCGCAATTGCACACTCTCTCAAAACTGAAAGATGCTCTGCATGCGTTAAGGCCTGCGTCGGTGGTGCATCTAAGCCGCATGTTCCTACTCAGCGCCCATAAGGTCTGATGTCAGTGGGGGATGGGGTTGAGGATATTACGGTCTGCACGTCGAGCATGGTTTGAACAACATCTCAACCTCTGCCTTCTGGTAGGACTTGACGTCTTGCTCGGCTGAATTGATTATCTTACCGCATCCTTTGCGATGATAGATGGTGCTCTTCTTGGTGACAAACACTACGTTGGGGTCCACTTCGTTGTTCAGGTTTGGGTGAGTGCGAGTGGACATCTTGGGTTTCGGGTCGAGGTCGATGGGTTTGTCACCATGGCAAAGAGGAGCGAAACCCTTGTAGTCGAGGAAGCGGGTGTTGGATGCCGATGCCGAGCCTGGGGTAGTGGCGCGTGTGGAGTCTGGATTGCCTTCTGTTTTGACCTTCTTGGACGCAGGGGGATCACGTTGCTCTTCAGGCTCTCCGAGGGGTCTGTGGCCGTGTTGGAGCCTTTGAACGTCGTTGCACATGATGGCGTTGGTGATGTGTTGTGCGGCTAGAGCTTTGTCATGGTCCGGTAGCCGGAGGTAGCATGTGGTGATGTCGTTGGGGTCAGATGCGGCCATGATGAGCCATGCCGCCATCACTTCATTGGACGCCATTGCGCTGTGATGAGGTCTGCGTGGTCACTGAGCTGTCTACTTCAGATGGGAAAGCAGTGGTGGGGGCAGGGGAAGGGAAACATATCAAGCACACTGTACAACACAAGAGTCAGCATGAGCTTCTCCGACGTTTCTTTTAGCTGTGTGGTCAGCAGTGGGTCTCAGGTCGGAGGACGTGGTCATTGTCTTAATGATCGGGATGGGTTGTGACTGGTGCTCCACTGTGTCCGAAGTCCGTTAGCCGCATGTAGTGGTAGTTGAGCAGGTATTCCCTGTTGTCGTTGAGCGCGTGGTGCATGATGTTCTGGATAGTTTGGTTGTGCTGCCGCATCCAATGTATCGTAGCTGTAGCAATGGGTTTGGGTCGCATCAGGATGGCCACCGCATCCTTGTAGTAGTTGATCATCAAGGTCGTGGCGAAGGTGCGATCACATTGGGCTTGTTGTTCCACTATGTCCCTGTGGTCATCTGAGTTGGTGAAGTTGTAGCTCTGTTGGCAGTACGACGCAATGTTCTTGAGGAGGATGTACACTTCGCTGGGTGACATTCTGATGTTGAAATCGACTTCTTGATGTACTTGCCACGTCCAAATCTGGTTGGTGATGGTGGTGTACTTGATGAAGTGCTGGAGATGTCGATGATGTAGAAATCGATGAGCGGCACTGATGATCTTCCACGGTTGTAGAGGGAGGGTCGTAAGGAGCACGCCGTATATCTCGGATATGTCTGTGCCATCCGTCCATTGCGGGTATGTGTCAGGAAACTCAACATGAGATTCGTGGTACATCGGAGGTTCGATGTCGCCGGGGTCCGTGTACGTGTGAAGCATCGCACGTTCCTGTTGTCGGTCAATCGCTAAATGGAATGCGAACAGGTAGAAGTAGTTGAGTTGAGTCTGAATGATGTCGTCCAAAACTTGCGGGTCCACGTGGAACAGATGCTCGGCCG